AAGTAAATGTATTTCCAATCTAGAAAAAGTTTTCTTTCCTTCTATTTAAAAAAAAAAAAAAAAAGTTCCAAACAACCGTTAAATCACATTGTCATTCAGTCGGCACGACTAGAGAATTTTATATGAACATAGTCTCATTGACGAAAATTATACTGTGCAAATGGCGAGCTAATAACTACATTCATATAAGTTTATTGCATGGCTAAAGTTTTTTTAAAAAAGACGTTTTTTTCTTTTTTTTTTTTCCCCGCATCTTGACTAAATGTTTGTTTTCTTTCTCATTTTCTCCTTTAGGATGGCAAATTCTGTCCAGATATACCTGGTCCAGGTCTATCGTATATAATCTGTGATTTTGTTTTGTACTCGTACATTGCATTGGAAATCAGAATATATGATAATGAACACATGGTGTGTCATGCTAGTGACACATTAATTTGTCCTCTCCCCAAACTAATTTCTAAATTCACATATTGGCCCCTTATTTTGATTTCTCCCTTATCTGGAAGAACAGTTTTTAGTTCTTAATAATCTCTATGTTCGTTTTATATCTCAGCAGTTTTTTTTTCTTCTCTCTTTTCCTTGTATTGAAATAGGCAAGGGAATCATTTACATTTAGTACAAGATCAAATTAATTTGGAAGGTTTTGCCATCTTTTTTATGCTCCTACGTACCGAACACCTGTTATTAATTTTTTTTTAAAAAAATACCTGTTATAACATTATTTATATAGATAAGGGTGTTCATCGTCGGCAACAATGACTAATCCCCCTTGCTGAATTGTAAGTACCTCGATGGGTGAGACAACTGGCCAAAGTATTTAAGTTTGCTCCATGTCTATGGTAAGGTCGTATTTAAGGTTGCTCCATGTCCATAGCAAGGTTCGAACTCTCGACCTATAGTTAAGAGTGGAGGAGTCCTTTCCACTCCACCACAGCCATTTTGGTGCCTACAATAAGTTGATAAGTTGCTTGTCATTTCAGGTAATTATCTACAACCTAACAAGTAAATGAATGAAGTCAACCCTAATATTATAATTATTGATTGTCAATTACCTTAATTAAAATAGAATTGAATCCTACAAACCCCCTCTCCAAAAAATATAAGAAAAAAAGAAAAGAATAAAACTTTGCTTAATAAGAAAAAAAAAGAAGAAGGAAAAGATCAAACCACGAAGGGAAGAACCGAGTTAAAGGATTTAAAATTGTCATTTACCTACTAATTTTCAATGTCATTCAACTCTAAATAATATAGTAATATATCTTGTATTTATGATAGGTCCATAATTAAATTTTAATCATTTCATTGGAATTTTCAATCAATAATAGCTTTGCCCAAGTAATTAATAACATTACTAAAAAATGAATAAAACTTTGACTAGGTTTTCCCATTATTTGGGATTTCTTTTCATCACAAGAAACAATAAATTACGCACATCTCTACTAGTTGTGCCTTTTGTCTTTGATGGTCGTCAACTGGACAAGTTGGTTTTGATTTAAATATATGCTAAATTGTCTGGAAATATCTTCTTCCTCTTCTGTAAAACTTGAGAACGTTGAAGTCCATGTCTATGTACGAGTAACGGGAACTTAATTAATTTAAAAAAATCTAGTGTTACTTAAATAAATTAACTAGCTAGGGTAGCAATACATCTATATCAGGTTAGTATAGAATATTATGATTCTTACGTCAAGACAAAAATAAATATTGCCTCCGATACTTAATATAAGACATTTTCATTTCATCATAGGTTTCACCTAGTACGTATTTTTGATTGACGAAAAAACCTTAAAACTATATTTTCACATTCGTTGTATTCTTTTGATTGTTATGAAATGTTTTAAAGTTTTTTTATCAATGAAAAATAAATACTAGATTAAATCTAGGACGAAATCAAAATGTCTTATATTAAGCACCAGAGAAAGTATCATACAAATGTACGTCTGGATAACAAGTTGAAATATATTTCTTCTAGTCTTATTTACGAGATACAAATTTAATAAATGGTTTAAATGTGTACGGAGGAGATCATATATACTTTTGATGTCGATCGTAATTCTACATTATTAATAAGCTAATGTACTTTGGCAAAAGACAGAAACTTGAGGTTTTGTTTATGAGAAATTATGTAGAATTACACCTTTTTTTTTTTAAGAAATAAAAGATTATATAAGTAAGTATTATGATTAAAGCCCTACCTGATCACCACTAATCTCTCTTCAATTTGCTTTTAGGGAGATGAATTTTTCCGAAAGCAATCATAATTTATGCATCGATGATACATCCTCAACTCAACCACTTCAGCTAACTACCCAATATGAAATGCAAATTATTGTGTAAGAATTTTTATTTCTTTTATAAAAAAAAGTATTCATAGCATTAAAAGGTAAGACTACTGCCTACCCGACATTCCACACATAGTTAATTACTAATCCCACTGACCTTAATAGATTGTCCATTTCACTTTCTTTTTTACCAATACCATTATAAAATTACCATTTCTTTTAACTTCTTTTTTTCTGAGTGCTAGCTTTTTTTTCTTCTGCATAAATGGGAGGAAAAGTTGAACATATTTTATCCACAAATATACGAAGCCGTGATTTAATAATGAAAAAGGATGCAGATTATCAGAATATTAAACTTGTCATGATTAGAGAGCATCCGAGTTTGACTCTATGTTGGGTGCTAGGGGGTAACTATTTTATACGAAGTATTTTTAAGTCGCAATTTAATTTCAATCTACACTTTTTAATTTCTACACATTATTTTTTATAAGATTTGAACTCGTAATTCTATAGTTAGATTTGAACACATTATTTTTGGAAAAGGAAAGGTTTTTTTCCCCTCTATATTTAAAGTTGTACTCCAATATATCATTTCTACCACTTGACCATACGAGGAAGATATTAGGGTTTTTCTTTAATAGTTTAGCTACTACCTCTCATTTTAACCACTTGACCATATGGAAAATGAAAGGTTTTGTTTAATAATATTATAATTATTAGTTTATAATGCCACCGTGTTCTTGATACCTCTAAAATCCAGATTGATTCACTCCATTGAATGAAACAAAAATGAGATTATGAAAAAGATTCAAGTTGATGAGTGTGCAAATGCAAACGCCAGCACCCTTTTTTGAAGCTTTCGGCCATTGATGTGCGCAGCCATCCAAGCAAAAATCATTGTCAGCAAAGCACAAGTGGTCAAGAGTCTTGAAAATTAGAATTATTTTTAATTAGTAATGTTTAGTAATAGTTTCGAGCATATTACTCAAAAGTTACTTTGTCATTAAAATATTATTTCAAGAAATTGCAAAATTAGAATGAGCTGGTATAAGGGAACAAGGAAACTGGTGGTCAGGTCAGGTTTGTCAAATATCATTTCAATACTATAAAATTACATGGGTTCTACTTTAAAACCAATTTGCAATGAGGGAAGTAGCCCATAAACTTATAAACTGATATCAAATCTCTCCCACCACCACCGTTGAAAGATACTCAACAAATACAGTGAGATATTTAGTTTGTTAACATGTAGCGTTACTTTTAGATCTAAACCAATGTTGACCATGATTTATGATGTCGAAATAATAAATAACATCTCATTTTTTACTCCTTTTTCAAATACGTTTGTCATTGATATTATAAAGTATGAACCATGCACACATCAATTGTTACAAGTGAAGACTTATTTTGTCATTTGAGAAGATCGGAAGAAGAAGTTACAAATAGGAGATGTTATTTTGGGATGAGGAGCAAAAAAATACTCCGCGAGTTCAATATAAAAATCATGTTTATGGAACTATTTTGTTTCAACAATAGTGAAGTTTTTCTTCTTTTTTTTTTTCCAAGTGGAGTACGATTTTTCCATATAAGAGAATCAATAGTTAAAAATATGATTATACTTTTTATGTCTCTAAAAAAATAGTCCATATTAAGTTTTAAATTTATATTATTTTTAACATAAATTTCAAAATTTAATGTGAATTTTTTTTGGGACGAAGGGAGTATGTTTATACTACAAAGAAGTAAAAAAAAAAAGGAAAAAGAAAAAGAACAAAAGGACGAATATATGCTTAATGTGCATCCCATTTTTGTTGAGTTGATAAACACTAGTGCAGTTGTGCTGATGTTAACACCAACAAAGAAATTTATTTCTGGAAAATACTTTTGCCGGAAAGTTCTATTGATCCACGTGTAAGTCCAGGATGCAAAGCCATTTCAATGAATATTAATTTTTATTTCATTTTTTTTTGGTTGAATTTCCAAACAAAAGCTGTATGATTTTAATATAATTAAAATGTAATTACAGTAAAAGTCAACTAACATAATCAATGGGAGCAAATATTAATATTGCTAGCTGTGTCAATGGGGAATTATAATAAGATACTGAATATTCTAAGCTTACAGATATGTTAATTATGGGTGGCACTAAGAACAATTTTAAATAAAAAGTCAAGTTTTACTTTTTTATAAATCAATTAAAGCTTTTAAGATCCTCTTTCCAACAACTAGTTTTGTTACTAAAACTGAAGCAATTTACTTTTTTTTTTGTTTTTTTAAAAAGAAATAGATTAAACCCTCCAACATAAAATGAAGAAAGTATATTACTATCTCCGACCGAGAAAAATAGTCCAATTTGAAAAACTTGACTTAATCTTGCAAATTAAAAAATTATTATGAAAGATTGAATAACGATTCATCACTATTTATCAATTTAATAATCAATTTTATGTTATATCAATATCCTAAATCCAATTTTAAGATTTATATTTATAAATGTTAAATTCCAAAGTAGACAGTAATTTCAGGATGGACGGAGTAGTAAAATACTAAATTAATTGGAAGCTTGCGAATCCATTATATTTTATGGACCAAATACAAATTTTTGCCATTAATTTCTTCTTCTTTTTTTTTTCCCGTCATTAGATCAATGATCGAACAATTAAAAGTGGTCAAAAGTGATAAACTAAAGTTTAAACACCAAATTTAACGAAATGAGCATAATTAACTGATCATTTTACTCTTATACTATAGTATCATCTTCATCATAATAACCGAAGATTACAAAGATTGATCAACTGAAGAGATGAAACATGAACTTAAATACTAAAATAAAAGATGGTTATATAGATTACCGCGGTTATAAACATGTTTATCCCCGTTTTACTTCTCCCTGAAAAGAATATTTTCTACCCGGAAACTAAAAGCATTCTTGTCTACGAAATGTAGTAATCCGGGAAAAGGAATGACAGTAATAGTACACCAATCATTACTCTCATAACTAAATGTACTACTACTATATCCAGAACCAGAAGAGTGAATCCCTAGATTGAGAAAATCTAAAGGCTACACACTTTTACAGGAAATGGATATTTTCTTTTTCTGGTTAGGAGAAGACCCAAGAAGAAAACAGAGGAAAAGCTTTTACGTTGACAGAGTCGTCCGGTAACCACGTCCACAGTAACAGACACACACACACAGAGTGCCATATACAAACAAAAAAATATTTCACCATTTTGGGTTTTGTTGTTTTGAGGCTATCAATGATCTCAATCATGATGACCATCAAACAAACACCCAACAACAGAAACCTTCCCCAGTGTAGAGCTAATGCTCCCTCCAACACACATATAATAAAAAAATAGGAGTTAAAAAAAAAAAAGAAAGAATTTTTCCACCGATTCTCTTTTTTCTATTCCAAAAAATTTATTGATGCAAGTTGCAGTCTTCAACTTTGCTTTGTGGGTTGGAGAGATGGGGATGCCTCACATTCACAATCACAGCTTCCAACTCCAACTGGGTAACCGATGCTGTACTAAAAAAAGAATTAGATTCCAAAATCTCTAATCCCAAATTGATTCACCATCTTCTTCTCCTCTTCATAATCTTACCCACTAGGAGTATCTTCCCTTTTCCCTGTTTTTTTACATCTCTTCTCCTTGAAGCTTAACCCTCTCTGTATCCAACTACCAAAATTCATTTCATTTCTTCAGCCTAAAAAAAGGGGTGTAAACTGTAAAGTAAAGAAGAAAGGAGAGGGGATACAGAATGGATGAGCCAGACCCACCTCAGTCTAGGCTAATTAACTTCCCAGTTTGTAGTATTAAGCATCCAAAAGGGGGGCCTTTGACTTCTTCACAGGTGGACAGGGATTCTTCTATGCTGATGGATCTTGATCTGGACTCTTCTTGGTCTTTTGAGCAGATTTTCTCTTCTTCTGCTGCCCCAACCGCTTCTGAGCAGCTGCCTTATTCTCCTCTCTGGGCTTTCTCAGATGATGCTAATGGTGATACTGTTACTGGTAATGGGAGTTCTTGTGCTGTTGAGTTTCGGCTTGCTGATTTCTCCAGAAAGCTCAATTGTAAGCTCAAAGTTTGAATCTTTGAGAATCTTTTTTGGATTTGGAGTATGGATTCAGAAGTCTAAAAAACTCACCAGTGTCTAATTTATCGGCTCTTTGTTTCTTTTGGTATGTGTTTTGTGTTTAATTGCAAAGCCCCAGGAAGACAGAAACAAAAAGCTTGGAGCTTTTATTGTTATAACAGCTTTTTGAAGTGGCATTTTTTGTTGAAGAATGGTTATATTCTGATAAAATGAGGAAAGGAAAAAGGAGTATTGCTTTAGGGTTTAATTTCATGAATGAATTGTGGATTTTGCTCATGTTGTTGCAGATACTACTGGTTAGTTCTGAGAACTCAATCTTCATTGTTTTTCCCTGTTGACCTTGGCATTTTTTCAACGAGAGTGATATAAACTCTTTGCTTTCCCATATTTGATTCATTTGTTTTTTACCTTATCAATTTGATTTGCATTGATTGGTTTAGTTGGATGAATGATAAAATTTCAACGTTAGCTTCATAAGAACTGTGGTTGTAGCTGTTGACTCAGTAATTTTGAATGTTATATGCAGGTGATACTAATTTGATAACTGAAAATCCAACTGAGAATGATGAGGATAGAAAGCCGTCAGTGCCAACCTTAGAATTGGCTCCATTGGATTGTCCGGATGTTTCTTTCATTATAAAGGAGAGGATGACACAGGCGCTTAGATTCTTCAAAGATTCCACTGAACATCATGTCCTGGCTCAAGTTTGGGCGCCTGTAAAGACCGGTGGTCGTTATGTGCTAACTACTTCAGGGCAACCGTTTGTTCTAGACCCCAAAAGTAAAGGGCTTTATCAGTACAGGATGGCTTCTTTGATGTATATGTTTTCAACTGACGGGGAGACTGATGATGTGCTTGGATTACCTGGTCGTGTTTTCCGGCAAAAGCTTCCTGAGTGGTCACCGGATGTGCAATATTATTCCAGCAAAGAATTTTCACGTCTCAATCACGCCCTACATTATAATGTTCGAGGAACTTTGGCGTTGCCTGTATTTGACCCATCTGTGCAAACCTGCGTTGGTGTACTTGAGCTCATAATGACTTGCCAGAAGATTAATTATGCTCCTGAGGTTGATAAAGTGTGCAAAGCACTCGAGGTTGGTTTCGCTGAACCCACATAGTACAGAATCAATTGCCTTGAAATATAGTTTAACAAGCAACGAATATTTTAAACATTTTTTGTGCAGTCCGAATTATTTGTTTCCATATTAAGGGGCACTTCTGAACTTTGAAAAGAATTCTCCCTCCTTTTTGCAGATCACAGGGTAATTTCTTATCAAATTTGGATCTGTGATAACATGCTGATTATTCATTTGTGTGGAAATTTGGGCATTATGACTTTAGAGTTTAGTGTGAAATATGGAAAGTATGTTTCTTGAATTAGTAGAAGAACCTCTCGAAGTATACTTCGCATTTTTTTTATTTGGTTTAGAGTTGAGGTTCTCTACGGGTTCATTGCCTCAATTTTTTGTTGTACTTTTTTCTCAAATACGGGTCTCCCCAGGAAATCAAGTTAAATGATCAAGGATATTGTTTATTTAAAAGATTTATATTTTTCTGCAGGCTGTCAATTTGAAAAGTTCTGAGATTTTAGATCATCCAAATATACAGGTAAGGATAATTATTCGGCAAAGATCTAAGCAACAAACATCCATTTCTGTTATAATGGTGTAATAACTTCTCATCTGTTTTGGAAACCAGATTTGCAATGAAGGTCGACAAAATGCTCTGGCTGACATTCTAGAAATACTAACGGTGGTGTGTGAAAATCACAAATTACCTTTAGCTCAGACATGGGTGCCTTGCCGGCACCGAAGCGTACTTGCCAATGGTGGTGGGTTTAGGAAGAGCTGCAGTAGTTTTGATGGAAGTTGCATGGGACAAATCTGTATGTCCACAACTGATGTAGCTTTTTATGTGGTTGATGCTCATCAATGGGGTTTCCGGGAGGCTTGTGCGGAGCACCACTTGCAGAAGGGTCAGGGTGTTGTTGGGAGGGCATTTGCTGGGCGGAACTCATGCTTCTGTGAAGATGTTACCCAATTTTGCAAAACCGAGTACCCCTTGGTGCATTATGCACGATTGTTTGGTTTGACTAGTTGTTTTGCCATCTGCTTGCAAAGCACTCACACTGGTGATGATGATTACGTTCTTGAGTTTTTCCTACCGCCTAACATTAAAGATCATAGAGACCAAATGGCTTTGTTGGATTCGCTCTTAGCGACGATGAAATCTCATCTGCGGAGTCTGAGGGTTGCGTCGGGACATCTTGAACATGAGTTAAGATCTACTGAAATTGTCAACATATTGGTGAATGAGAAGCTTGATTTGAAACCTGAATTTCCTGAAACACCCAAGCCTGCAACAACAAGCCCAGACACAAGTGGAGAGATAGGGCAGCCGAATTCAATTGAAGAGCTGCAACCTACCCATGGGGTTAGTTCTGCACATGAAGCAAAAACTGTTGTTGGCGCAGCCAGAGTTCAGAAGGGTTCATCTGTTTCTGAGAATAAAGACAATGGCAAGAAACCACAAAGGAAACGTGGTAAGGCTGAGAAAACAATTAGCTTAGATGTTCTGCAGCAATATTTCGCTGGGAGTCTTAAGGATGCAGCAAAAAGTCTCGGGGGTGAGTTTTGTTCGTATACAACATACTTTTTTCTGCGTCCATAATCTTTGTTTGTGTTTCATTCTTATGTTACAATTTCCATTCTATTTTTTCTTAATTACTTTAAGTCAAGTGCACTAATCTAGAACCTTTTTGCAGTTTGCCCTACTACGATGAAGCGCATATGTAGGCAACATGGGATCTCAAGGTGGCCATCTCGCAAGATAAACAAAGTGAACCGTTCCCTCACGAAACTTAAGCGTGTAATTGAATCAGTGCAAGTTGCTGATGGAGCATTTACTTTGACATCTTTAGCTTCATCGTCAATGCCAGTTACTGTTGGTTCCATGTCTTGGCCTGCTAGTTTGAATGCATCTGATCTCTCAGGTCTGCCTGGTTCAGGAGCATCTGAAATTCCTGGGGATGAAACCGAACTCCCCCAGCTTAATGGATTTCAGCATGAGGAAAATGCAAAAGACTTGAAGCAAATCCATGGCATGATTGGAAAAAATCATGACCTGGCTCATCAACCTGGTGGAAATTTGAACTGTGAAGAAGGCTCACACCGATCCAAAAGTGGAAGCGGTTCTAGAGAAGTGAGCACAGCCGGGACTCCTACTTCTCATGGTTCATGCCAGAGCAGCCCCTGCATGCACAATGTATCCTCATCCCCTCTGAATGAGCCAGTTGTTTCACCTTCAAATGAGCAGAATATCAAACCAGTTGTAACTTCAGTTGGATTTATGAGTGAGCCAAGAGTAGGGGGCACGAATAGCTTGTCTGCGGGATTCTCCATGGATGCTTTTATGTCTGTAGCGGAACCCCAAGAACCCTTTGGTGTGATGTTAATTGAGGACGCAGGAAGCTCGCATGATCTGCAAAACCTTTGTTCCGCTGGGGAGGCAGGTTTGTTTGATGAGCGTATGCCCCCTGATTACAGTTGGACCAACTGGCCAAAGATCAGTGCCATCCCTCCAAAAGACTCCATGGTGGTCACCGCTGAACGGATGCCAGAGTTGGCTTCAATGAAGCCAGAAGCGAAAACCTTTTTAACCATAAAAGCCACATATGGGGAAGACATCATAAGGTTTCGACTGCTCGGGGATTCCAGTGTTGAGAAGCTAAGAGAGGAAATCGGCAAGAGGTTGAAACTGGAGCCTGGAACATTTGAAATCAAGTATCTGGACGATGATCAAGAATGGGTTCGGATTGCATGCGACGCAGACCTTCAGGAATGCGTAGACGTTTCCAAATTGTCAGGCTGTAGTTTGATCCGACTGATGGTTAATGACATAATGCCATCTTTTGGTAGCTCCTGCGAGAGTTCCGGGGAATGTGGAGTAGGAGGAGGATTAGGTTGTAAATAAGGTATTAATTAAGTTGTAAGGCGGTGGTTGTAGTAGAACCATTCTTTGCAGTTTTAGGGGTTCGATGTTTTTCATATGCAAGTGTAAATCTGTCTTCTCTGTTTGCTAGCTTTTGTTAGATTTGAGTCATTTGAGACGGGAGTTGGTCATTTGTAGGGACAAAATATTTTCCTGTTCTTGTTTAGTTGCAGTATTTAGTTGTAATATGTGATGATCTGTACATGGAGATGTAATCTTGTGTTGGAAAATTTTGCTGGATGGATTTCTGTCTCAAATGTACGTGTTTCCTTTTAACAAACGTGACTTTGTTTTTGGGATGCAAGAAATGCATTTATTAGAACTAAAAATACATGTGAAAAATTAGTACAAGTCTAATACATAATTTCAGTAAAAATAAATCACAAAAAAATATTTTTCTTTTGCAATATTATTTTTCTTACAACCAATTTAGAATGTGCACTCCTTTTCTACAACAAGATAATTCACATTGTAAATTGTAAATTGTGAAAAAAAAAAATTAGAATTAGATACTTTAGTGGACTATTTTATAAGAACGGAGGGCAGTAAAAGTCTCCGGTAATATTTTTCCCGCGAACTACTGCTGACTTGGGCTTTCCCGCCAGTTTCTTGCACAGTTTAAGCATACGAGGTTGGTTCCCTTTCCGCTTCATTAGGCGGCGAATCTTGATTTTACAACTACGCCGCGTCGCCGCTGGCACACCCTCTCGGCCTTCTCAGCCGCCATTCCGAAGCCCATAATTGTGATGGCCGGCAGCGCTATTAGGTTCACCGGAACACCAAAATCTACGGCCAGCAAATGCGACTCACCGCCCCAAACAGGCTCTGAATCAATTGCAAATCCAAGAGGTAAACGAACGAGCTTTCACTTTTTCCCTTACTTTCTTCAATGACTGAGCAAACCCCAGAATGGCATTTCAGCCCCAGAAGGTTGTGAATATTTACTCGATAGATTCAGAACAGAATACACATTCAGCATCAATTTCGATTTTCAGCCTTCAATCCAACAAAAACTCAAGCCTTTTTTGGAGAGGATGAGCAACTTTGGGAAGAAAAAACATTTTTAGAGGCCATGGTTCAGTTTTACAGACCCACAAGATGGATGTCGGGAATCATGAGTATTGGGGGTTGGAAGATGATGATTGTGATGATATTGATGAGGTTGAGACCAAAGCTGGCCCCTCTTGGGAGGGTGTTTCAAACAGGGATCCATTGAATATTGTCCACCATAGAGCGATACCGCCTAGAAGAATTTCCCATGTGGTGTAAAAGTAATGGTTACACGCATACCAGTAACAAAGTAAATCTACTTTTCTGCACCCCTCTTAAATTAGTTGATTTGTGAGAGATGCTTATGGAGATGTATAGTCCATTTTGTTGAAAAATCTTACCGACAGGCTTTATCTGTCACTAGATATAATTGGCACACAAATAACAAATATATTTACCAACTGGTGATGATAAAACATCTGTCAGTTTGGTTTCTTCAGAAGTTATGACTATGTGAAAATGAACCCCCACGAACCAAAAAAGTGCAGAGAAGGGATTAGAGAAGTGAAGTCGAGTAAGTATACCTCAGTTTGCTTGTAAAAATGGGAGATGAGAGGTGATTTTGCGGTTTAATGAAGAATATAGAGCCGTACAAGATTAGCAAGTCTATTCTTTTTGTTGAATTGAATAGCAGAAAAAACCCCAAGATTCAATCACTTTTGGGTTGTGTCACGCATGATGATGAGGTATCCTCATGAATAGAATGCTACTAAGGGAGGGGTTTAGATTGGAGTTTATAAATGAGAATAACTAAAGACCAACCTCTCAATGGACTCTTTCTTTTTTTTTCTCCTTAAAATCCTCTAGATGGATTTCAATATTGGAGGCTGTCCTCTGCCTCTGGTAGCTCCAGGACTCCGAGAAATCCTTAAGGGTGAGAATAATAAGAAATGTAGTACTTACTGTTTTTGTCACTCATATGCCCGGCATACGGGCACATCCTGAATTTCCCTGGGATGACGAACAAGATCAGTTCAGAGCCCAAAGCGAATGAATCCGACAGCATCTCAGAGAGCTGTTACCGCATCAACCTCAATGTAAGGGGTGATTTTCTCCAAATGTTGACGCTCGAATCATTTCGGATATGCTAATGAAAATGGGCAACTCCAAGTAGCTGGTGGTGAAGAAGAACTTAGAGGCAATCAACTCCAAATCCATCAAGACAGAATTGAGTCTTCTAAGGGATCAGCTTTCATCAACGGTGAAACCGAAATCAGCCGGGCTATTATCCAACAATATTATGGTAGATAACTTGCTGATGTTGAGAAAGAACTTGGAGGTACAACTATGCAGTGTTTTATTGTCTTTTTATATACTCTATCCGGTCCTTGTTATAAGGCATTTTGAATTTTGTCTTAGGTTTCAACTAGGATGCGTTTTTAAATGAAAAAAAAAATTTAAAAATATATTTTCACATTCATCGTGTTTTCCTAATTATTAGGAAATATTTTTAAGTTTTTTATTTCAATTAAAAAGACATCCTAGGTGAAACTTAGACAAACCTAGGACAAATTAAAATGCCCTATAACAAGGACCGGAGGAAGTATGTCGTACTCTTTAACTACTTCCTAGTTACCCTTACAGTCAGCAATTCATTCCATTTTTTGCAGTTAGTCGTTCTACCCTGAAACGTAGATGTCGAGATTTGGGTATAAAAAGATGGGCATGGCACAAGAGAAACAAGGTGGTTAGGCCTAATAGATCTCTTGAGGTTGGTGGTGAAGTTGTCCAAGACTCTGAGACTGGACACCCTAATGATGCTACCAGTCAACCTTACACCTTCATTGTTAGGGCGACATACGGAGACGACACTGTCAAGTTTCAGTTATGCAGTAACTCAAGGTTTGAGGACTTGGTTATGGAGTTGCACGAAAGATTCAAACTAGAAGTCGGGAGGTTCAAAATAAAGTATGAAGACAATGACGGTGATTGGATTCTGATTGATAATTTGAAATCAGTTGGCCAAACTGTTACGACTTAGCTGCTTTTTGTTGTTGTGGAGTAATTTTTTTGTGATTGGTCAGGCACTAGTGTTAGCTAAAAATATAGGTACGTCTCGTTTCTAAAACTATTCAAGTAGCTCTGGGCTTCTAGCAAGCTAAGAGTTTGCTGTCTAGGATTCAGACACATAGATCGAGAGAAATCATGTTTTGCCAGAGAATATAGACATTTGAAAACTAATTTGGAAAACCATATTAAGTGATAATAAACACCAAAAACCATTAACCAAAACCTGCTCTTCGCAGTTAAAAATTTTCAGCACTAAATAGCAGGAAACCTGAATTGAAGGAGAAGTTGTAAATTAGGCTGCATATGACAAATAAAGCATCTTGTTTCTACAGTGGAAACCTTTTACAAGCTACTAATCATTGTCAGGCGTGAATTAGTTCACGTCTGAAAGACCATTGGCCAGTGCTGTACCCAAGTTCTGAAAGTAACCCCGTGTAACTTTCGTTAGGTCAACCACTTTTGTACTATAACTTGTGAATTCTATAGGAGGAGCTTCTTTGTTGCTGTGTCTTGAAAGCTCTTTCTCAACCAAACTATGCAGTCTCTCCAGATTAAACTCTGCTTGCCCTTGTAAATACTCGAAGAATTTCTTCTTCTCCGGCTCATTCTCCGGCATATAATACCCGTACGCGTACGACCATTTTAAAACCCTCCTGCATTCCACAATCTGAACCCACGCATCCTTGATAAACTGCAGCTGAGACATTGTCAAGTGATGAATGTCTCTCAATTTCTCAAGATGCTTGGCGGACAATTCCTCGATATCCGCCAACGCCCTCTTCCTCGAGATATGGTTACCGATCCATCTCTCGAAATGATGCGTATATCTATCCAATGATCTCTTCACCATCTCCCTGATATTCTCTTCTTCACTAAACCTACCATCCTTCTTCGCTACCTCGTACCGGTTGCAACCATAGTCATCGTGGTTTCTCCAGGGACCTAAACACATCCAACAAAATTCGAAATAGCAAGGCGCTGCGCAAGACATGTGGTGGCAACCTTGATTCTTCTCAATCCTTTTATGGCATTTTGGACAAGCTTTTGTATTAACTAAAATCCAATTCTTCTTGTTTTCAGATTCAGAGCTGTTTTTCAATGCCCATTTAGCTACAGTTTCGCAATCTACCGGGCTATGCGGTTCTTCTAAACAATTCCAGCAAAAAACGATATGAGCAATTACATATAACCTCAAAATTGCTGGGATTACATCCACTGATATCTTCACTGTCTAAACATTCAACAGCAAATTCACATCCGGGACCCGGGCAGTACCTGAAATTTTTCTTACCTTCAACATATGATCTCAACAAGTGATTCTCGTACTTTGCCCTGTTTTCATCGGATGCTAATGAACCAATCATGTCGGCAACTGAAGCCTTACAAGAGGGTTCCGGACATCTCAGGAGCAGAGAACCGGCGCCGTCGTTGATGGCGGTGCTAATATAAGTTCTCCAACACGTTTCGCAATAGACATGACCACAGGTGGATTTGACTGCAGAATTATTCGCTGAATCATGCCTATGACTCTCCAAGCAAATCCCGCAAAAGAATTTACCTTTCACATCCCTTTTTTCACCCTCAGAAGAATCCGCCGGCACTCTGAGCCCACAAGCCCGTCGGGTTTTCTCTTCGTCGGAAAACCATTCCTCGTGAATCCGGCCAACATCCCATCCAAATTTACTCAGGAGAACTACCGCTGATTCATTAGAAACGGAGAGCAGGCTCGAAATCTCCGAGATATCTCTATGTACATGAGCCCGAATTTCCTCGCTGCTGAAGAACCTGAATTCCATATTATTATCTATGGAGCAATCGCGATCATCTGAACCAGGGGAATCTGGATATTCCTCTGAATTATAATATCCTTGTTCATCATCAAGGTCATAATCAACAGAACATTCATCATCAGACATAGACATTGTAGACTTTTTTTGGGGGCCAGAACGTAAAAGAATTCCAGGGTTCTGTGATTAGGCGGCTAAGTTTTTCGAGCGTGACAGCAATTTGAGAGGTAGTATTTATCGTAAAAAAAGAAAAACAAAACCCTTGTGTTCTTTTTAATTTGGGTTTCCTTTTCCTTTTTGGTTTACAATTAGAAAGGTTAGATTAGAAGGAATAGTTAACAGAACACGAAAAAGTTGGAGTTAACAGAGACCGGATCCTACAAGTAACAGACATCTCTAGGCCCAATATAATATAGAAAACATTTTGTTACTGAAGAACCTTAATGGCCATTTAGGATCGCATTCTGTCAATCAAAGTTAACATCTTTCAAGTGGCAAAATTGCACACAAGCACTTTTCTTTTCGGCCTAAATTGCTGATATTTTACCTGCGGCATCAATTTTATTTATTTGGTTCTTATCAATTGTGACACAGTAATTGCGTGATATGCAATTTTCACAATGAATTTTGAGATTCACCTGAAGCTGCTTAGCCAATGGATACTTTTATTGCATTAGTGTTTCCCTGTTAAACCAAGGAAGTAGTCTTGCCACTCCGAAATCGCCAGCATTCGCTGTAAGGTCATGATCAACAAGAACATTACTGTGTTTTAAGTACTTTGTAATGAATGATGGCAAACTCAGAGTAGTTGTGAAGGTCATGACTGAAAAGTTTGTGCCATTTTTGGTTTAACCTTGAAAGTTACTTTAGGCTAAGAGCAGTTGCGACCGATATCATAGTCCTTCTAATTGCCATGGTTCAAGTGGGAGCTGCAGGATTTCGTGGAGTTTCACAATATAGTAATTAGATTTCGACTATCATACTACTACCTCCGTCCCACAAAAATAGTTCATATTGAGTTTTTAAATTTGTACTAAAAATAGTATAAAACTCAAAACTCAAGGTGGACTATTTTTGTGGGACGGAGGGAGTACTTATTTCAGGGCTAAGACGAACATATCAAGATTGAACATAAGTCTTTGCTGCCTGGGATCCAGATAAATTGATCAAAGATATAACAATATAGACAATATAAATGTCATTGACAGTAAACAAAAAAAGATTTAACCAAAAACTGTTCTTCAGAGTTACCTAAAAATGTCTGTCTAGTTTTCTAAAAACTATTCAAGTAGTTGTAGAAATGAAACTATTATTATGCGATCCAAGTTAACTAAGGCCTCGAACTTTATTGTCGTCAGGGAACTGAGTTAGTTCCCGTCCGTAAGACCATTGGCCAGTGCTGTACCCAAGTTCTGAAAGTAAGCCCGTGTAACTTTGGTTAGGTCAACCACTTTTGCACTATAACTCGTGAATTCGGTCGGAGGAGCTTCTTTGCTGCTGTGTTTGGAAAGCTCTTGCTCAACCGAGCCATGGAGTCTCTCCAAATTCATCTCTGCTTCCCCTTGTATATACTCGAAGAATTCGTTCTTCGCCGGCTCATTCTCCGGGAAATAGTACCCGTATGCATACGACCATTTCAGAATCCTTCTGCACTCCGCAACCTGAACCAAGGCATCCTTGATAAACTGCAACTGAGACATTGTGCAGTAATGAATGTCTCTCAGTTTCTCGAGATGCTTAGTCTGCAATTCTTCGATATCCGCCAATGCCTTCTTCCTGGAGTTATGGTTACCGATCCATCTCTCGTAGTAATGGATATATTTATCCAATGATTGTTTTGCCAACTTTCTGATCTTCTCTTCGTTACTCTTCGAATTACCTGTCCCTCCTGGACCCTGCATTTGGAAAATGTTGCACTGTTGCAAGGCGCCGGACAACGCATAAAATTACAACCAAAACTCTTCTGAATCCTCTTATGACATTTTGGACAAGCTTTGGTATTAACTATTATCCAATTCGTGCTCTCTGATTCAGAGGAGTTTTTCGATGACCAATTGGCCACAGTTTCGCAGTCTATCGGGCTATGAGCTTCTTCCGAACAATTCCAGCAAAAAAGATACGAACAATTACAACTAACCTCCAATTTGCGCTCATCTCCGCCCAAACATTCAACAGCAAACTCACATCCAGGAGCAGGACAATACCTGATGGAATTTTTCTTACATTCAAAATAAGATCTCAAAACATGATTCTCGTACTTTGCCTTAAGTTCATCGGATGCTAATGGAATCCATGCTCACGATATTAGGGACTTGCATAAACAAGCTGAGAAGTATGCTGCTAAGATAAAAGAATTGAAATCAAAGATACTTTCAGTTGTAGAATTTCGGCTATAGGATTTTAGTTGGATGATAGTCTCTCACAGAAATTGTTGTGCAACTTGTCTAGGTCCAAGCTTCTTTTGAAGAATATCATGAGCTAAAACAGGACTGAAGTCACTCAATGAGACACTTGCTTCCATCAAGGATCCTAGAAGCCTTCCAAAGATGTCGGGTTTGGTGTTGTTTCAGCATGTCTCACCGTAGCATGCTTCATGTTTTCCAAAAGAAAAACTGTGTAATAGAAATACAAATGTATACAGATACAATGTAAATGACATGAGTGACTTCAGTAGGTGGTTTTTCTTTCCCCTTCTTCTTCATCTACTTCTAATGTATGTTTTTTTCATGTAGGTGGAATCGCAGGCTGCTGCAAATGCTTCACAAATTGAGAGATGCTCTTGTTTTGGGCTTTTTTGATTTTTTGCATTTATAGTGTTACTTCTGTCTATACGTCCAAAGTTTTTGAACCAACATATTATTGTTATATTCCTTACTTGTTTCCTTGGTTAATTAGCACATTTGAACCGACGTTTTACCTTGTTTTGTTGCTTTTGATTCGCTTGTGAACGATGTCAGTTAATATATATTACTTTGTGGAAGCTTTTCATTGTTATAGTTGCTAGGGATTATGGCTGTGTGTGTTTTATGGACTGTATCAGTCCTCAGATGTTGTTACACAAAGTAGTAACGTTCAAACTTGCGGTTTAACATGAGCATAATTTATATTCAAAAATTACTTTGAGCACTTATTATTTTCACTTGTTGCACACCATTTCGACATGTTTCTCTCCCCATTGTTCTTGGTTCTATTAGTTAAATCATGAAAATAAATATCAACCACATTGGTGATTATAATGTCATAAATACACAATATTCTGATAATACAATTCCAGATCAAAGGACCCATAAGTTAGTAGCCAATAACATCTTAATATCCTCAAATGGATTCACTCACAAGTCTAGTTATCTCATAATCAATCCTGGTGTTCATCTTCATCTTCAGAATCTCCAAAGAACCATAAATCCATATGAAACTTTATACATGTGTAAACAAATTGATTTCCATATTGATACCTAATGTTGAAAATTACATATGCTAGCTCTCAATTTTAAATTACGAGTAACTTACCGTTAAAGAATCACTTATTATTATTGTTTTTAAATAAAATATAAATTTATTAATTTACTGGAAAACATCCAGCATCGATTGACAAAAGATTTCCAGCATCGATTGACAAAAGAAAGATACAGCCAGAAAAAACACAACTCAACTTACAAGTAGGCATAGTATCATTGTTGTGTTTTACATGGATAAACTTATATAGATGTACCTAAACTAATATAGATGTAGCTTACAGAACAATGGTTGTACCACGTGCTATACTTTTGAACTGGTAAGGAGATAACACTAAACATCGGTTGAAACCCACAAGATATGATTATTAGATCTGTTATGATTGATTCTTCTTAAACCATGACAGGCAAACTAGCAAATATCTTCAATAAAGCCACCGCCGCCATGCAAACATCATGCGAAACCGCCGTCATACTAGAGAATAATATCAAGGAATCTACTGTTGTACTAGCGAACATCACCAAGAAAACTGTTGCCATACTGGCGAACAACAACAAGAATATCGCCGCCATAATCAACTTGTAGATTATGATCTCTAACGTGTAGAATTATAATTTTGTATATTAAAATTAAAATAAAACAAAATAAAAACTTAAAAGATCCGAAGGAAACTATTTCCTCCATTCTTCCATGGAGGAAAGATGAGGAAAAGTCTTGGTTTTTGGTTTTTAGGTTTTGAGGGGGAGGGTGCAGCCAAAAGAGAGGCATAGAGAAGGGCAAGAATTACTACTTATTATTGTTAACTCTAGCTGGAATTTCGCCATTTTGGTGGAAATAAAGAATTGATTCCCAAATAATGATTTTGCTTTCTAATCTTAGGCCGGTTAGATTAACTTTATTTACCATTAATTTCGCATTTATTTGGCTAGATCTTTCTCTATTGTTTCTCTCTCTCTTCTTTTGCGTTTGAGTATTGCATGCTAAGTTTATCTCGACCGATTTGCAGGTTTCTCAGTAACTTTCTCTTCCATCAACAATCAATAATCCTTTTTGTTCTCTCCTTTTTTGCAACATTGTTCTAAGCTATTTGCAGGCAATTTTCACACAATTATTAGATCAACTTTTAGATGAGAGTTGAGCTTAACAAACTTACTATTGATTGCACAACGATTTTAAAAAAATAATCTGTAACCAAAATAAATAAATAAATATATAAATAATCGCGGTTTTATTTCATTCAAAAAAAAAAATCTCACCCTGTAGGACTGAAATTGCGCCGACCTTGGCTGTAACCCATTTCTATCATGCTCGAAAACGGGCCGGGTCCATACATGTGATGTCCAAAACCCAGCAGCTCGGTGAAATGACAATTTTGCCTGCTTTGGCGGGAAAAATTCCCATTGAAGTCATCGATGGGAACAGTGGGAACCCTTCAAACTGAGGCGGGGAGAAAAAAAAAAAAACCATACATAAACCGTCACCGATTATTCGTCTTTAGCAGAAATCGCCCAAATTCTCTGTGACAGATATCTTCCGAGCAAGAGAAATTTTCCGATTAAACTCACAGCAATGCCTGAAACTCGCCAGATGAGAAGGATGACCAGCAAGGTTGAGAAGAAACCAGACCTTAACGACGTAGTATGCATTTCCGAGGGCGAGGAAGAGGAGGACGACTCCCCGCCGGAAATCGAAATTCAGAAGAAAATGCTCCGGCAGCGCTGGGAGTTAGCCTCCGTCCTCAATTTCTTCAATGTAAGGAAGATTTGTTTTCATTCTATGTATATTGACTACATTTCTGTGTATCGTTGTTCTGTACGCACAGGATCACTTCGAATATGGCTTAAAGAAAGGAACTTTCTTTATAGGTGGGTATTAAAATGATTTTCATGGTAAAAGATTGAAGCTTAGCTATTTTCATTTTGTTCAGGTTTTTGAGCCTGTAATTCAGAGCAATTTGAAGATTTCAGCTGAAGAAATTGAGACTGCTTTGATTGAACCAAATGATGCCCTTGCGCAGCTTCATCTTGTGCTTCTGAAGGTTTTCTTGCTCACTCCTCTCTTTTTTGTCCTTTTTGTTCGTGTTCGCAAATAAATGCAAACTGACGCAAATGAAAATGATAGATTCAATACATGAGTTTCGCTTACACATGAGAAAGGAGGGTTTTTCTCTTGAATGGATATGGGACAAATTGAACCATTGTCTAAATATGCATCTTTGTTTCTTTCAATGGAATGTTCTGTTGATGGTCGAGTCTCACTGTTTAGTCTGGTCGATGTCCACCAGCCATGGCTCCTGCTCCACCTCCCTCCCAGAGAAATTAAAAAAATGGAGTTTATATTTAAAATAAGTAGTGAGGTGTTTCCAGATAGAAAAAAAAACTTGATATGCAGTCACAAACTGAGGATAAGCTACAACTAATTCTTAGGCAACTAGACTAATTATGTTCGGTTAAAGTTACCGTTTTATTTTGAATATTTTTAGCACTTTGAATTTATTTTCAGGGAGTGGCCCCATCAAGCAAAATGCTGAAGGTTTCTGATGCCTGGGTGTCTGTACTAGCTAAGAAACTTGAGTCCTGGTGGCCATGGGTGGGTCATTCTAGACCTGGAGTCTTTCAAATTTTGTTTTGGGTCCATAAAGTACTGATTTGAGGATTGCTTAATATCATAGGTTGCAGAAGGAGAATTCCCTTTGACCGCTACAAAAGGGTCTGCTATATTTACATATTACTCTTTCATTTTTCGATGCCTTTTTCGGTTTCTTACTCTTATATAGGCTGATGTTTCTACATTGGGGCAAAATTTTCAGAGAAGAGATGAACAGATATAAGGAACTTGATCCTGCCATTCGTCTCCGTATTCTTAAAGCACTTTGTGAACTGCGAGCTGATGTAATACTTTTATGATTTTTGTTTGTACTTTTCCCTATCGAAGCTTAAGTTTTTCTGGTTCCTGCACGTGCCATTGCTATATATTCTGGTTTGTAATTTTGCTGTTCCTATTCTGAAAACTTACAACTAAATCTGTTTGAAGTGGCGACTTCATTCTCCAACTGTGAGTTAAAGTACCTGATCGATATCTTTACTTTGCTTACAGCGAGATGATATAGTGACTTACATCAATGATTCCATGAAAAATGGAACTGGACCTTGTCCTTTTCAGAAAGAGAAGCTTGGGGAAGATGGAAAAGGGACTTTGTACTGGTACTGTATGAAGATTATGTTAGCAAAATGTTTATCAAATGCAGATAATAACTTAAGCCTTTCCATGACAGGTGTGATGGAAATGAAGATATTGGTTATAGATTGTACAAGGAAGTTCAAGTTGCGCTGAAGCCAAAAGTTAAAGGTGAGGTAGACAGACTTGGCATCATCTCTCAGTGGGAGACACTTGCAACCAATCTGGAGGAGTTTCACAAAGCAGTGGTAAGACATCAATTGTATGATACCGGAAACAAGCTGCAGTTAAGTTTGATCTGCTTGAGTAATACAAATACCTCTTTTGTTTAATTCTGGTAGTGCAAGTTCTCATCTAGCAAAGTTCAGTTGGAGGTGAAGGTGGCAAAAGCTGTAGAAGCTGATGTTTTACCGACTCTTGAAAGACTTCAGAAGGTCAGTACCTGAAATTACTCTTGTTGAGTTTGATTGACTCTTTATCATATCATATTCAGGATATAGATTTAGTATTTCTAAGCTGGTTTTACTGTAAATGTCTGACTAACAGAAGAAAGAAAGGGTGCTGAAACAACAGAAGAAACAAGAGAAGCTTATGGCCGCTTTGCGCAACTCTAGAGTGATTCGCATGGGTCGTAATCGTACACGAAGGCCTGTCAGCTACAAATTTGGTAGGGAGTATAAAAGTTGCTCATCTAATTTATAGCATGATATTTTTTTCTAGAACACTTGAAAACTACGCGAATATACTAAAACGAATTTTTTTTTTTTTAAAAAAAATAATTTTAAAAGTAGCATATACGTCATTCTATCCATGAGTTCAGATAGATGGCCTTTGAATGAAGCTTAAATTTCTTTTAACTGCAAAACATAAAAGTAACGAATTTCTACCTCCAAGGTAAATGTGGTGGTATTGATTGGAAGTTTTGCTTCTTCTACTTTTCAACTGGTGCAGGCTTTCATGTTGTTATTATTTGATGTATGATTTTTCTTAGTCTTTAGATTAGTCCTTGTTCACTCTGTTAACAGGTTAATTACTAGTAGACTCTTCTAACAAAAGTAGAAATTTCTGATTGAAACGCGAGGAACAAGATATTGTTATTTTTTTGGAAAAGAAAAGGAACTTTAGCATGGTTAACTAGAGGAAGTCTTCATTGATTTATTTCTCCACAAATGATCACAGTTTTATTTTGTTGAAATTGTTACTTGTGTATGTGTACTGCTAATATATTGTACAATTGTGCTTTTAAAGTATCTAACAAAGACTTGTGGATTTAATCTGCAGAAGACTATGACAAAGCTATTGAAGAGGCAATAGAAGTAACCCAGTGAGTTTTGTAATTCATTTTACCCTGTAATTCATGTTCAGTTGCTTTTTTGCAACTGATCTTTTAAGTTGATTCAATTGTTTTCTCCATCTCTTCTTTGGAGAAAAATTTCTTAAAAGATCTTGACTTTCCTTGTCTGATAAAGTAAAAAAGTTTACTATCAAAAGCAAGGTGGTTTATAATGCCTAGATGGCATGTTGAGATTCTATGTTTAAGATTTTCTGGCATATGGCTTTCATTAAATTCCCGGATAAAGACGTTTACACATGGTCAGAAATGTACCTAACTGATATGTTTATTTTGTTTCTTAGGCAGAAAAAGATATCTAGGCGAAGATATGGAGGAGAACGTGAACCTGCCTACACAAGTGGCAGTGAGTCTGTTGAGAGTGACTCCAGTTCTGAGGATCATCAAGGTGTCAATGAAGATCAGAATGCAAATGATGAGCGTGAAGATGTCAGGTGTGATCACGACAACCATTTTAACAATCTGAACGTGGAAGAAAATAATGTTGGCGATACAAAGAGTTGGCCTGTCCGTAGAACCAATGCATCGCGCTGCAATGAAGGATTTGCTGGAAATATTGACATGAATGTTGATGAGTCTGGGACGAGCTTAACTCCGAAGCAGAAACTCAGGAAACGACCTACTACTAGTACATCTGTCAAGTCTTCTATGATCTCTGATGCAGAAGATGAAAACTCTTATGAAGATGCGAACAAAAGAATCAGAGTTTGTGGAAACTCATCTGAAGTTGCTAGCACCGACGAGGATGATTTTAGCAGGTAGAAATATGTCTGGTCTAAGACGAGAAATGTCATTACCTCGGGGGACTCAGAAAATGAGCACTAATTTTGGTATACATATGTAAAAAGTTTTTGTTGGCAGGAATGAAACAATGGTAGCCTGTTTTGGATTAGTCTAAAAGTAGGAATGTGCTGAAATCCATCAAATTAACAGACATTTTAGGAGCTTCACGAAGCTGTTTTGGCTCAAATGTGATGATGATATTTGTTCGTCCTTCTCCTTCATTTGGTTGATGCATTCTCTCCTCACATCTGCACTTTGTTGATAAACGGGATTCATCTTTTGTTCATGGAACGCGTAGATGATAGATCTTTGGTGGTGGGTAAACCCATGATTAATGAATTAAGTTGTTCCAAGATGGTTAGCATAATAACAAAATAAGTAATACAATCAACTGGTATTGGAATTCGTAAGCTTAGAGAAAGGCTATTTCGTATCTCGTCTTTTTCGCCCTGCTGGGTCAAGTATTCTTCTTTAGTCACAAACACAACGAACACGAGCGTTTCTTTGATTTATGCTCTTACACCTGAATCTCGTGGTAAAAATCAGAATTGCAAAAATTTCATTGAGATTGAAAGAGCAAAATGGGGAAAAAAAGAAAGATAAACAATCGGTCTATCCTACTCTGCGAACAAGAACATTACAAAAAAAAATTCAATAGCTAAAGAACAACAGTTGATAATCTGCAAATACTACGAGTGGAATAGAAACAAAGTGCAAGGCAATCAGCAGGGTGGTTTCTCAGACCCTGTCAATGTCTTCTTCCTCGAAGGCAAAATAGTCATCATCATTGCCACCCTCTTCTTCCTGGTCAAGAGTCTCGTTGACCTTAAAGTTAGGGGGCAATTCACCATAAGCCTTCAACAACCTGGCCTCATCCGCCATGTACTTGAGGATCACATCGGCCTTGTCGTCCTGGTATTCCCGGAGACCAACGAGGACCGTGTCGCCGACGTTGATCCAAACCTTCTTGTGCAGCTTTCCACGGATGTGACAGAGACGCGTCACGCCGTCGATGCACTGGGCTTCGCAGCGCCCGTTTCCGTTCATCTTGATCACCTGCGCGTACTCCTGCCCGTCCTCCTTGAAAATCAGCTCTCTTTTCAGGTCATCCGCCACGTTCTTCCCTCTCTTCCTGTTCTTTCCTCCCTTTCCCTTGTTCTTCGGCATCTTTACCCTAGGATTCTACGGCGGCGGCTGCGGTGGCGCTTTTGTTATTGATGATTGACGATTTGATAAAGATAAAAATAGACCCTAAATTGGTTGTGAATTTCGCTTAATCTTAATTTTTCTTTTTCTTTGGGACTCTAGCTTTATATATACCGTTACTAAGGCGGTGGGATTTCCTTATTTTTGTTTTTTTTTTTTTTAAACCCTTTTCCTTTTCCCTTTGGGGTCAGGTTATTAGTGAGGCGGTGGGATTTTATTACCTCCATTAAAATCTTATTAACCCCAGTCATCAATCCGGAGCTCCACGACAAACAATAGGTTCGACCCAATAATACCATCTTCAAATCGCAGTGCTAGAGGAGGGTTTTTTTTTTGTGGAGAAAAAGCTGTGTGATGATGAGGTTGCCACCATTGTTGGTGCCTGGCGGCGGCGGCGGCAAGTCTAAGAAGAAGAATTTAGTAATTGATGACGATGAATATCATCCTACTGCGACTGAGGTGTTGGAGGAAGAGAAACCTGCATCTGCTGGGGCTAAAAAGAAAGCTAAGAAGGGAAATTCGAAGAAGGTCGGGTCTAATAAAGATGATGACAATGTTGATGGCCCGCTGGAACCGAAAGACGAAGATGATGATGGATGTAAGGAGGAAGTTTTGGGGCAAAATTACTGAGGACGATGGGGAGAAGTGGGTTACACCTTCAGGTAAAAATAAGCCATCAAAGCCAAAGAATGGTGCTGGTAAAAGTTTATTCAGCTCTTTGGTGTTTGATGTGATTGGTGATGAGGATGACGACGGAGCTGGTGGAGATTCCGTCTCTGGAAAGCAGTCTGATGAAGATGATGATGATGATGATGAACCCGTCATTGAGTTTTCAGGAAAGAAAAAGCCTTCATTGTCTGGTAAGAAAGGCGGAGGCAAAGGGCTTATTGCATCTACTTTTGATTTGCTTGTCGAAGGAGAGAGTGAAGATGAAGATCACGAGGGCATTGCTTCTATCACCTTCACAGGAAAGAAAAAGAAGTCTTCAAAGTCCTCGAAACAGAGCCATGTTAATTCGTTTAGTGCTGCATTCCTGGATGAAGAAACAGGTGAAACTGATTGTCTCTAAAGCAGTAGATGAAACAGCTGCAGATGAGTTTATATAGATGAGGACATATCTGTGGTTACATTTTCTGGGAAGAAGTCTTCTAAGAAGAAAAGTAATAATGCTGTTACTCCCCCTGTTGCAGAGCCTGGGAATGATATGTCTCAGGTAGATGAATTTGATCAGCCTAGTGTTTGTGCAAGCGCCAAGCAAATTCCAGAAGTTGTTGCAGAAACTTCAAAAAACAAGAAGAAGAAGAAAAAGAAGAGTGGAAGAACTGCTCAAGAGGAAGATGATGATTTGGACAAGATTCTTGCTGAGCTTGGAGAAGTAACAACTCCATCAAAACCTTCTCAGTGTCCTATTCCACCGGCTCTGTCGGGCCAGACTCACGAGGAGCCTGATGATGTTGGAGGTGAAAAGGAAGCTGAAGAAGGATCTGTTGTGGAGTCTGCAGCAGCAAAGAAGAAGAAGGAAAAGGATAAAGATAAAAAGACAGTGGCAGCGGCTGCGACTTCTGTAAAAGAGAAGCCTCCTGAAGAGACCAAGAATGATACCAAAGCCAAAGTACCTGACAAGTAAGTCCCTAAGCATATCAGGGAGATGCAAGAAAAACTTGCAAGACTTAAAGAAGCTGAAGAGAGGAAAAGAAGGGAAGAAGAGGAGAAGTTAAAGAAAGAGGAAGAAGAGCGGCTTAAGCAAGAAGAGGCCGAAAGGATGGAAAAAGAGAAGAAACGCTTGAAGAAAGAAAAGGAAAAGGAAAAACTCAAGGAGAAAAAGCTGATTGAGGAAGCTCGTATATTGGAGGAAAAGAGGAAAAAACTAATTGGTTATGTGGAATTGCGACTTCCTACTACTGGGGATGTTAGGGAAGCAACTACAAAGCGACCCGTATATAAGAGAAAAAAGCCAAAGGCTACTGCTCAAGTTAACGGTGCAGCTGTTATGAAGGATGGTGAAAGTGAAGAAATCAAAATGACAACTGAGCTAGACTCTATTGAAACGGAGCGGGCTCAGGAAGTGGACGTGTTTGAAGTTAGCAAGCCAGAAGTAGTTGATGTTGTGGAGGAGAATAAGGTAGAAGAAGCGCCTGCTGATGATGATGAATAATGGGATCCCAAAAGTTGGGATGATGCTGATCTCAAACTTCCTGGTAAAAGTGCATTTTCTGATGAGGAGGTTGATTCGGACCTGTAGTGAAAAAGGAGGTGAAGAGTGTTCAGCATGGTGCTAGTGTTCCTTTGGCAGCAAAACCAGGTGAGATTGTGGACAAATCGAAATGCCGTGGTGTTGCAGTTAAAAAGGAAGCTCTTAAACCTGATACTTTCCCAATCCAGGTTAAAAAGGAGGCTACTAAACCTGATGCTCCTCCAATCCAGGCTGAGAAGAATCTCCGGTCACTTATTTGTTGCATAATGGGTCATGTTGATACTGGAAAAACCGAGTTACTTGATTGCATACGGGGGACCAATGTTCAGGAAGGAGAAGCTGGGGGTATTACTCAGCAAATTGGGGCAACATATTTCCCAGCAGAGAATATACGAGACAGAACCAAGGAACTGAAAGCCGATGCTAAGCTGAATGTCCCTGGTTTGCTGGTAATCGACACTCCCGGACATGAATCCTTCGCCAATTTAAGGTCTCATGGCTCAGGTTTATGTGATATTGCGATCCTGGTTGTGGATATTATGCATGGATTGCAGCCACAAACGATTAAATCACTTCATCTCTTGAGGAAGCGGAACACTGAATTTATTATCGCGCTGAACGAGGTGGATAGGATCTATGAATGGAAACCACACCGTAATTCACCAATTCGAAAGACCATCAAGCTGCAGTCGAAAGTTGTTCAAAATCAATTCAACAGGAAGCTTACCGAGATTATAACCCAGTTTAAGGAGCAAGGGATTAACACTGAGCTGTATTATAAAAATAAAGAAATGGGAGAGACTTTTAGCATGGTCCCTACTAGTGCCACCACTGGTGAAGGGATTCCAGATTTGTTGCTTCTTCTAGTACAATGGGCTCAGAAGACAATGGTGGAGAAACTATCAAAATGAAGTTCAGTGTACTGTTTTGGAAGTCAAGGTTATTGAGGGACACGGAACAACCATCGACGTGGTCTTAGTCAATGGTGTTCTTCATGAAGGAGGTCAAGTTGTTGTATGCGGGATGAATGGTCCTATTGTAACCACAGTTCGAGCGCTCCTGACCCCTCACCCCATGAAGGAACTCCGTGTGAAAGGAACTTATTTGCATCACAAAGAAATCAAAGCTGCACAGGGCATTAAGATTGCTGCTCAGGGACTTGAGCAGGCTATTGCTGGTACAGGGCTGTATGTTGTCGGGCCAGATGACAATTTAGATGATATCAAAGAATCAGCCATTGAGGATATGGGGTCGGTTATGAAGAGAATCGACATAAGTGGCGAAGGAGTTTATGCTCAAGCATCTACTCTGGGTTCATTGGAAGCACTCTTGGAGTTTTTGAAGACTCCTGCAGTGAATATACCTGTCAGCGGTATAGGCATTGGCCCTGTCCATAAGAAAGATATCATTAAAGCGAGCGTCATGCTCGAGAAGAAGAAAGAGTATGCTACAATTTTGGCATTTGATGTTAAGATAACACCAGAAGCGCTGGAACTAGCAGAGGAACTCGGGGTAAAGGTATTCAGTGCAGATACAATCTATCACTTGCTCGATCAGTTTAAGGCCTACAATGGACAATCTGAAGGAGCAGAAGAAGAAAGAAGCAGCTGAAGATGCTGTCTTCCCTTGTGTTCTCAAGATCATACCCAACTGCGTATTCAACAGCAAAAACCCGATTGTTTTGGGCGTTGATGTCGTCAAAGGCATTGCCAAGATTGGTACTCCACTATGCGTTCCTGCAAAGGATTTCATTGATATTGGTCGGATCGCTTCCATCAGAAGATGCTTGAAAGGCATTTCGAGATTGATGATGAGTTGGTTAGCCATATCTCTAGGAGGTCAATTGATGCACTCAAAGCCAACTACAAGGACGATCTATCTAACGAGGAGTGGACGTTGGTGGCCAAGCTCAAACGGTTGTTCAAGATACTCTTGAGTTCAGTAAAAGAAAACAAATTTCCTTAGTAGCAAACGTTCCATAGTTTCTGAAAATCTCGTTTTCTCTTTCTAAATAAAAGGAATAAATCTTTTATCTTATTTGTCATTTTGTTGTTTCTAAGAGAGAACATATTCATGGATATGGAGTTTCATGTGCGCCTCAACTCGATACTTAACAATGATCGATACATATGTGTTATGTTATACTTCTATCCTATCCGTATTTTAACATATTTAGATTTTTACATTTCCAAAATAAAATACATATTTAGGTAACACCACTTGATTTGTTTTGACGCCCCTCTATTTTGATACTAATAAACTAAAAACTTCTTCACTCCTTTGCAAAATACATCAGGAGATCACACGATGCGCCAAAAATGTAAAATTGCTTTAGTCCAAAAAAAAATGTCTTGTTTGCAAGAGAAGCAAGCTGTAAAAATTAATTTATAAGATATATTCAGAACTAAGGCACACAGGTCAGGATGGCCGAGTGGTCTAAGGCGCCAGACTCAAGTTCTGGTCCTCGTGAGAGGGCGTGGGTTCAAATCCCACTTCTGACATTTTAAATTTTTTCCCTTCTTATATTTTTTTTCTCCCTCAAAATTCCTACTTTTCCTAGTTAAGCTATTGTTTTCTTGTTACAGACTAACAGAAATCACAAGTTCCGTTCTGAGTGATCCAGTTTTTGTCGAAGCCCGCAGAACGAAGCCAAAAATCATAAAGGATGACGGAAAGCAGCCGCGAAGCGAGGCGACGTCGTATACTTGAAAGAGGAAACGACCGTCTTGCCCTAATCACCGGCCAAATCCGGAACCTTCCGTCTGATTCCGGTTCCAATCCACCCCAATCGGACAGCCTCGCCGGTGACCTTTCTTCTCCGCCGTCCACTATTCAAGCTCAATTACCTTCCTCACCTCCTCCTACCCTCGGTACTTCCTAGACACACTCATACGCTTTAATATGTTATTGTTCCTCTTATAATTGTATTTCTTGCTAAATTTAGTGAGTCTGCTACAGTGTATATGCCTGCTTCTACTCTTTATCTCCTTAGTACTATTGTAATTTTGATGATATATATTACTTGTTAAAAGTGCTATTTGAAGGGAACAATTGGCAGTGATAATCTCTTATGTATTGTTTAGAATTCTGGCAAAGATTGATTCTTTGGTAGTGAAGTGTTGCTTTCTTAAGTTTAAATTTGCTTTGCCTACTTTTATTTTCCTTTGTCCTGTAATTCTGGCATGTTCAGTTAAAATTGTCTCCAAAGGTTTGCACTTTATGATTTAGTTGAAATTATCTCCAATTTATGATATCCTGGCTAAATTCCTTCTGATGTGTATATATATTGAAATGTCTGATTGACTCTTGCTTTGGTTTTTTTTTTTTTTTTTCCCTTAAAATTCAACGAGTAACATAGACAAATAACGCAAATGGATTGAAAACTAAATAACCGCAAGCGTGGTGGGTTTGCTTATTACTCATTTACTAATTTTGCAGATTCTCCACACAGAGATGATAAAACCTCAGGTCCATTGCTGCCTAATCCAAACTCTGTTCCCGAAAATAGCCAACAAAAATCCAGTGATGATAGAGCTGAATCTTTAATAAGCAGTTCTGATAGTATTACAAGACCCGCTGATCTATTATCCCGTGATCATGATGGTGAAGGCTCGTCAATTCAACAAAATCTTCGTGATTCCAGGTCTTATAAGGACCAACATCTCGGAATACTTACCCATCTTCATAACCTTTTCTCTTTTAGTGAAGTTAAATCAGCAATCTCTGCATCTGAGAGTACTCGCATGGTATGTTCAGTTGCAGTTGCCCTTTTGGTGGTGTTAGCTAATGTGGGGTTCCCAGTTCTGGGTAGCCGTCTTGTTAAAAGCGTCATATTCTTCAGACCTCTTTATTTGCTTCTGTTGACCAATATAACAATTGTTATAGCACTATTGCTAGAGAAACAAAGAGGTTTACCGAGACCTGAGCGCCAGACAACTGGCAATCGCTCGACTGGTGAGCAGGGCTTGGTTGATCAACTTGGTGCCGCTTTGGAGTTGGGGTTATTTATCTCTAATGTCACAGGTGCGCTGTTGATGGATGGTAGCATCTATGCTATAGCACTTGTTTGTGGCTTTTCCCTGGCCAAATGTATTGGCTTCTGAATTTTCTCTTGTTTAATTAGTTGTCATTGATTCGGAAATGAGTGTAATGTATGAGCTCGTATCCGTTTTGGATTCATTCTTTGAGATTGTTGAGGCGGTAGGGTTTTGCTTTGATGACACTATCATGAAAGAATAGTTTGTACTTACCTTTCCAGTAATTTTTTCATCAGTATATTTGTTGTACTTATTGCCTCTTTGATGGTATCTAATAAGGTGTGCTTGTTTCTCTTCGTTATATTGTGTGTGGAAATTAGGCCTATTTCTGGTACTACTTTTTATATTTCCGTTTCATTACTATATGTGGTGATTTATATTCCATTTTCCATTAGTTAGTGTTGAACGTCCTGTGAAATGCTATGAGAAGTGGTCAGAAGTTTGTTGTCATGAAAATCATTACTTTTTCTTTGCGTCAACAATATTGGATAAGGAACACCAACAGCACGAATTTGTTTTTGCATTTAGCTCCGTTCAGTGTTCATAGAACGTTTTTTTAGTAAAATCAAATTAATGAGTAGTGCATTAGAACTTGTATCGAACAAAGAGCGTGAAGGCTTTATTAACCTTTGGTCGAATATTACTTGCGAAATAATGTATACCATCCAATGAAGATTAAGCTCGGATCCATTCTGATACGGAGATTTTGGACTTTACCATGGCCTTGAAGCATGCAAAGTATGAATTTGATTAGAACTGATTAAAGCAATGACGAAGGAGCACTAAACATCGTTGTATCATGTTCTTAAAATTGAAAATTGCTTGTACTGTCCTCTTCTAGGATGGTAATTTCATCCATCTGGTCATGGTTTCCTGTCTGATGTAATTGTAACAAATTCAGCATCGTTAAAATTTCCTTGTAAAATGGCTTGGAATTGTCTCCTGATAAAAATTCATGAACTGCACTATCGATCTCAATGAGACTGCAACCAGGGGTCTTCTTCATGCTCTTACTCCTTATAAGCTTCCTCATTTTCGACACTCCGTCCCACTTACCAAGATCTGCGTAAATATTTGCGAGCAACACGTAGTTCCCGGTGTCCTCTGGTTCGAGCTCTGACAGATGCTCCATTGCAGCAATGGCGATTTCAAGGTTGCGGAAAGTTCTACAGGAGCTCAGCAAGGAACCCCAGATGGCTGAATCTGGTGCCATTGGCATGCTTTTTATAAGTTTAACAGCACGTTCAAGACGCCCGGTCCGGCCAAGCAGATCAACCAAACAACCGTAATGCTCTATTCCTGGATCTATATTATAGTCGTTTTTCATGGAATCGAAGTAACTCAAACCTTCATCTACCAGACCAGCATGTCCACAAGCTGATAAAAGACCAACAAAGGTGATCTCATTTGGTTCAACCTTTGCCCTCAGCATCTCTTCAAACAACTTGATTGCTTCATGAGCTCTCCCGTGATTCGCTAACGCTCCAATCATCGTACTCCACGAAATAACATCCCTGTTGGAAAGCTGATTGAACAACTGAAGTGCCTCCCCAAAACTACCGCACTTTGCATACATTTCAATCAAGGCATTGCAAACACCAGTTTTTCTCAAGAACCCATTTTTATCTGCGTAAAAGTGAATCCATTTTCCAACCTTAAGAGCTCCTAGCTGTGCACAAGCAGGTAAAACTGCAACCAAACTAATCCAATCAGGCTTCACTCCAACCACTTGCATTTGCCGGAAGACGTCGATCGCTTCACTGTAGCAACCAATTTTGGAGTACCCCGAGATCATGGCTGTCCAAGATACAATTGTCTTATTTGGCATCTCTTCAAACAAAGACTTTGCCCTCCTCACTTGACCCAACTTTATGTGGCCAGATATAACACTATTCCATGCAATAGCATCTCTCTCACTCATTTCGTCAAACAACTTATGAGCCCCACTCATGTCAAGACACTTCGCATACATATCTAACTGCGAATTTTGAATTACAGTATTAGAGCTCAGCCCATATTTATATGTATGAGCATGAACTTGTTTCCCTAAGCTGGCATCGAGAAGCCCTGCACAAGACCTAAGAACAAAAGGGTAGGTGAATCTATCAGGGAAAACAGGCTCTTCATTACTCTGTGGTTCTGTTAGCAATTCTTTATATACATTGAGGGCCAAAACATACATCTGGTAATTGGTATATAGTCTAATCATAGCATTATAGAGGAAAATGTTTCGTTCATGAACCTGCCCAAATAGTGAAGTTGCATACTCCATTTGACCAGTTTGATCACAGATATCTACCATCTTGGTCACTAGGAAATTGCTCTGTGACCCTGAAAACTGGACCATCCGGGAATGTATTTTCTTCAAGTGTGACAGCTTTTTGCAATTTCTTAACATGGGTATGAGCATATTTTCCACTCCTCTCATCGTCAAGAATCCAACCTGGGTGCCCATTACTTCACTCTCTCAGAATTCAAAATTCCTCTGAAAAGACTTGATTTTTCTTAAGAAATCCCACCTCTTTTACCCGAGAAAAGATTCAGTTTTTATGCTGAAAGGCGAAAGCTTTAAGAAATGATGGGACCGGAATTACAAGGATCTGATTAAAAAAATCGTGTTTCTTTTTACTGTCAAAAGGTCCGCACTTGGAAGCGTTGCTTTCAGAGATTTGAAATTGGACTAAGAATTCAAGCAAAAAGAGGGCCCATTTAATCGGATTTGAGGGTTTATGGAAGCCGCCACTAATTAAAATGGGTGAACGTCAAAGATTTGCTGATCTTTTGAGAAAATGCTCCAAAAGTCTGTTATTTTATAAGGGCAAGGAAGTTCATGGAGCTGTGGTAAGAAAGGGCTATGGTTTAGATTTGATGATTGGCAATGACATCATAGACTTCTATAGAAAATGTGGTAGATTGAGTTTAGCTCACGCAGTGTTCGATAGAATGCTTGAAAGAAATATTGTCTCTTGGACATCATTGATGTGTGGGTATTTGCAAGATGGTGATGCTGGAAAATCATTAATGCTCTTCCGTGAGATGGTATTTTCAGGAGTTAGACCTAATGAATACACCTACTCAACAAATTTGAAGGCATCTGGAGTTTTGGCTGCCGCTTTTGAAGGAATGCAGATTCATAGCTTGTGCTGTAAATGGGGATACGAGTGGTATCCGGTGGTTGGTAATTCGGTCATTGATATGTATTTCAAATGTGGAAGAGTATCAGATGCTGAATCTATGTTTCATGCGATGCCTGGGAGAAGTCTGATAACTTGGAATGTGATGATAGCTGGGTATGCCCTTGATATTGATGGTAAAAAGTCTTTGCTTTTGTTTAAGGAGTTGAGAGAACACGGAGAAACTCCGGATGAATACACATTCACTAGCACATTAAAAGCTTGTTCTGCTGCTGGAGCTATCAGTGAGGGAACTCAAATTCATGCACTTCTAACTGCAAGTGGATTTCCGTTTCTGAGCCAGAAAATCCTCTCAGCGGCACTGATTGACCTATATGTGAAATGTGGATTCCTCATAGAAGCACATAAACTATTTAATGAAGCTGAAGAGAAGAGCGCTATATCTTGGTCAGCGCTAATATTAGGATATGCTCAAGAAGACGATCTATCAGCAGCCCTGGACTTGTTCAGAGAACTCAGGAAAGGGGACAATGCTATTGATGGCTTAGTACTCTCAAGCATGATGAGTGTCTTTGCTGATTTTGCTTTTGCTGAGCTTGGAAAGCAATTGCACTCATACGCCATTAAAATACCAAGTGGTAATGACATATCTGCATCAAATTCAATTCTTGATATGTATCTCAAATGTGGCCTAGTAGAGGAGGCAGAGCAATTATTTGGTGACATGGCACGGAAAAATGTCATATCGTGGACAGTTATGATAACTGGATATGGGAAACACGGTCTTGCTGCTAAAGCTATGCAAATTTTCAAGGAAATGCAGTTCAACAATGTTGAGCCGGATGGAGTGACCTACTTGGCCGTACTCTCTGCTTGTAGCCATTCTGGACTTGTCAAAGAAGGCCAAGAGTACTTCACAAGCTTGTGTACTAATAACAGAATGAAAACTAGAGTGGAGCACTATGCTTGTATGGCTGATATCCTTGGCCGAGCAGGCCGTTTAAGAGAAGCAAAACACCTTATAGAGAACATGCCTTTAAAACCAAATGTCGGCATATGGCAGACATTGCTTAGTGCTTGCAGAGTTCATAAAGATGTTGAGATTGCAAAGGAGGTTGGTGAAATTCTCTTAAGGTTAGATAGTGAAAATCCAGCTAATTATGTGATGATGTCAAATATTTTGGCTGATGCCCGGCACTGGACAGATTGTGAGAGATTGAGAGGATTGGTTAGGGTAAAAAGGCTCAAGAAAGAAGCCGGACGAAGTTGGGTGGAGGTTGATAAACAGATCCACTTCTTCTATAACGGAGATGAAACACACCCACTCTTTGCAAGCATCCATGAAATCCTGAAAGAAATGGAGAAAAGAATGAAAGAAGAGATAGGTTATGCCTATGAGACAAGCTTCTCATTGCATGATGTAGAAGAAGAGACGAAGCAAGAAAGCTTGAGACTTCACAGTGAGAAATTGGCCATAGGGTTGGCTCTTCTACATGGTGGCCTTGAAAACGATGGAAGGGTCATTCGCATTTTCAAAAATTTGCGGGTGTGTGGAGATTGTCACGAGTTTATCAAGGGTTTGTCAAAAATTTTGAGAAAGGTGTTTGTGGTTCGAGATGCTAACAGATTTCATAAGTTTGAAAGTGGTGTGTGTTCTTGCCGAGATTACTGGTAATTAGAATCTGCAACTTAATGTAAAGCTGGGACGAAAGACCTCTGGAAGAACTTGAAAGATGAAGTTAAGAGCATTTTCTGTCTCTTATCTCGTGTGAACTGATATACATGCTGATACCGGTGCAATATAGCACCCCATCTGCAATGCAGAAATGTCGTGACATTTTTCAATCGTTTGACATGGCTTCTTCTGCAATTCCTTTTGAAATTAAACCAGCATTTCCTTGAAGTCTGAAGATAGCAAAATCATCAAGTTGGTGGGATAGGACACGAAATTTAATCAGCACAATACCAATCGTCTAGGAACCTTGACTACAGTATTTCAAGAATTGTATCGTAGCGCGGAGCTTCTTCTGAATCCGCATGCAGGAGATCAGAAATTATCAAAATTTTCTCAACCATTTTAGTAGTGGATAAATTGGCACAGTTGAGAATTTGTTCCCACATGGATATTCAATTAAAAGGGTTAATTTGCTCCCACAAGGCCGCAATTGGTTACAAAAACCATACACAAGTCATTTCTTGACATTTTGTTGCATCTGGTGCCTGAAACCAAGAATAGAGGCCATAGCAACCATGTAAAACAATTCTACATATAATTTTTATTCCTAAGTTGTGTACAACAGTGTTTTACTTGAATTCCATAATTAGACTGCTCTTTTATAGAATACCACATACTAGATTATGTGGGTGCAGTAAAAAGAACAACAATCCAATTGCTAAAGAAACAGAAACTAACTCCTGCATGAGATCTGACAAAAGCCAATCTTGTGCAACTACAAAATTTGTGATGCATACAGCCAGAGGGAATTTCAGAACATAAAGCAAAACAAATCGCATTACAAATCCATATTCAAGCATGGGCAACCCTCGGCTCATTAATATCGCTATCTGAGCCTCCTTCATGAATCTCGTCTTCTTGACTAGTTTTATCAGCACTAGTATGCCCTTCATTAGTGGTTTGTGATTTATTTGACCAGACAAACCTCCTTCTCTGGTCATGCTTGCGCGAAGATCTTTTTTCCAATTTCGACCCTTTGGATTGATTATCTGGTTTGGTTTCTTCATCAGGTGAAAAGAACTGTACCTCCAATTTCCCAAGTTCTTCATACAATTTCTCAATCTTTGCTTTCCAGTAAAGACCCATTTCAGAGTCTATCTTACTGTAGGGAGTCTTCAGCAAATACTCATCTAGCCCCCCTACCCTGTCTATACAGCGCAAAGCATGAGTAGTTACTTTTAGCCGAATTTGACGATCCAGGGCATAGCTGAAAAGCTTTTTATCCTGTACATTAGGCTTCCAGCACCTCCTTGTCCTATCAGCATTATTTACGAGCTCTTTAGCATGATTCATTTACAGATTACGGCAAGCATCATTATTGATATGTTGATATGTAAAGGGAGAATAGACAAAAAATAGAAAGTGCCAACTATATCTAAAGAAGATTGAAGACTTAATTACAATCCTATATCAGCTGCATTGAACAAAACCTCCCCAAGAAATAGACAAGGACATGTTTTCTGCCAGTTAAGAGGTAAAATTTGTAGCCCTATCTAAACACCAAAAATGAACTTATACAGATGCATAAGGCAGGGCAACATGCATTACCAACACTATTCAGTACCAAGTGCAGAGTCATCGACATGCCCCTTAAATTTTTTTCTCTCAACACTTAGCAATCTACCAACACTTAGGACAACATCCAACAAGATAACAGATCCATTTCACGGATCTGGACATGCATAATCAGAGTAATCATCAAACTATTAGTTACCTAACAGCCTGCAAAGAATCTGCAGCACTGTATCCTAAATTTAACAAGGGTTACCAGCTCAGTTCTTAATTCAATATTCCATATTACTTTTTTTCTTCATCAGGTTTATCTGAATACCAGTGAGCAGTTTGATAGACTGTCGATTGAATCCGATTAAGGCAGCCCTTCAATGAAACATACAAATAGGACAAGGGATCCAATAACAAACATATGGATGAGCACTTAATTACTTCATTTTCCTAATATGGAGTATCAACTCCCACTGCAACTCCAACTACCCTAATGAAATGGAAAATGTAATAAAAACAGAAACTTTATCATGGCTATCAAAGGAGAACATCACATTTCAGAAAATGAATAGCAGAATAACGTCAAAAAATCAATAAAATGAAAAATGGTAACATGAAATGGGGCGGGAGCATAAAGAGAACCTACTTGTTACCGCCGTCTTCACTGACTCGGTTGCCATACTGGATGTGGCGGCCGGCGAAGAGACCGCGGTGAGCTCGACCCATGATCATCTTGCTATCAGGAACAAATTTCTTAATCTGATCTTTGGCTTCAGGAGTGAGGCTTTTCTCAGCCCCAAGTTTCTTAAGCACCTTCTTCACCATCTCCCCCGACCTGTACGCCATTTTTGTCCTCCCTTTCCTTTCCCACCAATCTGCGTCTGAATTAAAAATTCAAGAGAAAGAGAAACTTCAGTGATCGATTGATGATTCTTGAGGATTCAATTCTGGATCAACTTGCTGGACTAGATTAGGGTTTTGCGACTGACATGATAAAACCCTTCGTCCTAAGTCGTTTTGATCGTTGATTTGATGAGAGTGTCTGAGAAACGGGATGGGGATTTGTTTTTCGGTCAAATGCTATAATTTTATAAAATATCGGGGGAAAGAAGCAATTTAAACGGCTATGATTTTAGTCCTTAAATTTTGATGGTATAACATTTTTAACCTTTAATTTTTACACCTGAAGACTGAAGTCACTGAACACTTCCTTTTTTTTTTACAAAATTCCCAGTCCTTTCTGAATTCGATGATAAAACACAAGGAAAAACAGTCTCCTTTAACTTTCATATTTCCTATTCATGTGAATTCATCTTCGCCTTGTATGTAAGCTTCAGTTTGCATTCATTTCTTCCCGCGGTAGCATTTTTAGTTCCGGCCTTAAAGGATCTACGAAAATTAAATTGCACAAATGCAAAGGCACTGAACGAAGTCAGCTCCAAGGCATGATTCTTAGTCGTAGATACATACATTGAAATCTCATATTGTGTTATGTCAGCTGCCTCTTAGCCATATTCTTCTTCATGTCTTGAATAAAATTGCCCAAAGAAGCATAGGATGATCCATCCTCCAACACAGCCTTTCTGCAATCTTCACTCACCTGTTTTACCTTCCCTTGAATCTCGTTGTTCTCCATCATGATCCCGGTTATCGCCTTTTCAATCTGATCGGCTGAGACAATAATCTGACTCTCCATGTTAGCATCGTTTCTGTAATCCATCTTAATCTCAACACCAAGTCCTAGCTCCACTACCATCTCAAATGCATTCACCTGTTGTTCTGCATACATTGGCCAAGCAGCTAAAGGCACTCCTGCCCACAAACTCTCCAGTACTGAGTTCCAACCACAGTGTGAAACAAAGCCTCCAACTGCAGGATGTGATAAAACCGCCATTTGTGGCGCCCAACCGATGACTTTTCCAATGCCTGAAGTCCTTTCCAAGAACCCTTCTGGCAGAATTTCCTCAGGATTGGCATATGCAGATGCAGCATCAATGCTTCCTTTCGCTGGAGGTTGTCGTAGAGACCACAAAAATCGGCATCCATTTCGCTCGAGAGCCATCGCAATCTCCTTCAACTGCTCCAACCCAAAGAACCCGAATGTCCCAAAACATAAAAAGACAACAGAACAGGAAGGTTGGGTATCCAGCCAGCTCATTATCCCATCATCAGGCTTGAAATTCCAGTTAATTATCGGTCCTATCGGGTAAATTGGTGGGATCTTCTTACCTTCTTGATCTGACAATGACTCAATTGCGTAAGACTCCAACTCCTGGAAGGTGTTTATTATGATCCCCTTGGTTTCCCTCATCCCTCTGGCAGAAAGAAACACAGTTTCACATCCCCCATACTTGTCCAACATTACAGTAGGAAGTACTTTAGCAGGCACTGGATTCATAAAACTGGGGACCAACAGCTCAGCATCTGAATCTTTGCAATCAGTAATAGCTTCATTGTGTTCATCATTTAAGGTTTGGACATATAATTTAAGTCCTAGAAAAGCAGCGCTGGAACTGTAGAAAACGTAGGCTGGCAACTCAAACTCATTGGCTATATCAATCATTCCGACAGAAAACATGTCTACAACAATACCCAAAACAAGTTTAGTAGTGACTGACTTGGAGATCAGGTCAAGAACAACATCTCTGACAAGTGGCTTGAAACTCTGTATCATCTCGAAGGCAACAACCGATCTATTCTTTGACTCGGGTTCTTGATCACTTGATGAATTTGTTCGATATGGGATCTTCACGAATTGAATCCTGGAAGTAGAATCTGATAGCTGGGATTCCACATATTCATCAACTCCAGCGTCAAATGGTAGTTGAGTGATGAGGAACACAACAGAGAGATGATCATCCCGATTGATGAGAAGTTTTCCGAGCTCCACTGCCGAGACTAGATGGCCAACACCTGGGCCTGGGATGAACATCAACACCTCTGTTTTTTCCATACCTACTTTCTCTGTATACAACTTTGAAGCTCTTCTTCTCCACAATGGGTGGTCCATCTGCTACTTATCTAGAGATAAAAGTCATCAATAATCGTGTCTGTTTTTGATCTTTGGTTCACGCTTATCTTTTCTTACAAAAAATAAACAAATTAAGAACATGTATTATCTTCTCGTTTGAAATTAGGACAGTTTGTAAGATAGATTGTACTAGCTCAAGCATTAGGACATAGAGCGCCAACTTCATGGTTCATAGTTGTTACTCCCTGATCCGGCGAAAAAAATAATTTTCGACTTAAACTGGACAATCATTTTAAGACAAAATGAAAATATTTTCTTTTCTCATTCGTAATAGTATATGTACATAGTACATTGTTAACATTCGACATAAAGAAGGATGTGCACTCATATTTTACAGTTAGAACCGATACAAATTCACAAAAGAGGGTATAAAATGTGAAAAACTTTGCCGGATATACACACATTGAAGGGAAAACACCGTCTAATTTAACCGTTGGTTCATAGAAGGCCTTTCTATTCCTAACATGATTTTGTCACTTCATTGCGGTAACAGGGATCAACATATATGTAGTTCTGAATAATATGGTACACCGTACACATCAGTTGATTTCATCTGTGCACAGGTCCTAAAGGAAAAAAAGAACCCAAAAGAAAAAAAAAAATACTCATTGCACATACAAAATAATGAAATGGCCCAACAAAATCCGCTCCATGTTCATCGGTTTCTCAAAATTTCATAAACCTACCAAAAAAATAAGGTATACATGAACATTTTCCAGATAGCTAAGTAGTTCTTGTTCCCATGAATCTAGGGCGAACCAAACTTGGACAAGGCTGACTGGAACAAAGTTGAGAAGGCCTCAGCTGTACTAGGATCCTCTGCTTTGATCTTGAATTGAGCTTTACAAGATGACGAATTGATTATGCATTCCACAAGGTAATTTGAAGATTCATTTGCTTTCTGTGCATAGAAGAAGAACTTGAAGTTTGGCGCCTGACCACCTGAAGCTATGCAGTGAATGGATTGACCTTGCAGGTATCGAAGAAGGGTTTGAGGTGTCGTCAACGCTGCAACGCCTTGAGGACTTACAGGCATCTCCTGTAGAAAACAAGAAACCATGTCGCTGATAAAATTGCTCTTGTCAATGCTAAAACCAGTCTAGTTAAGGAGAAAGAAGCATTGTCAGGGAACTAAGAATGGATGACAAAGTAGATAGATCGTCAAATCCCAGAAAATCATTTAACTGGAAACAACTTTTTATGAAGACCTGGGGAACACAGAAAAGGGGGATGATAAACTTCAGTGAGCCAGTGATAAACAAAGAAAGCAATATAAAAAATAAAAAAAAAAACCTGTGATAAAGATATTGGTAGTTGGCGCCATTTCTGCTGAAATGTGTTAGGATTCAGAAGAGCTTTGGTATTAAGCTCCAAAGTGGGAGGTGGAGGGGCAGGTGTTGGTTGACTAGTCAATCCAAGCCCAAATATATCATCAATTGCAAAGCTGGCTGAAGGCACATTAGCTGGTGGAGGGTTGTCAATAGATACAAGATCTAACTGAGTTGCTACAGCAGCCGAGTCATATGCAGGGGCACTATAAGCAGCACCATTGTAACCGGCTCTTTTACTTTCTTCTTTCTCGGAAGTACTCAGAAGCAAATCCTGGTCATTTGCCTCGACTCTTTGAGCTACCGGCATGTTGTCGGACGATTCCACACCAATAGACAAGCTTCCAACGTCTTCTGAAAAAGCAAAAGGTCCTCTATATTCTTTATCCGTAAACATGTATGATGGCTGCAAAATGTACAGATTTCTAGTTAAGCCTCAGCATCTAACAGCAAACAGATTCTAAAAAATGAACTTTAAGCTGTCAGAGGGGTTTCAAATAAAACTGGAGTAAACTTTCAGGAGATATAGTGAACAACTTCAAATGAAATGTAGAAGTTTCATAATCATTTTAATGACAATATATAACATACCTTCTGATATACAACAGAAAGGCTATTAAATTCATCAAATATCCGATCTTTAATCTCACTACTCTGTGTGTCCGCAAAGACTGATACAGCTTGCTTTGGAGGATTAACCACACGTTCAGCTACAGAGACATTATACTGCAAAAGCCTGTAGTACAGTAATGCTCTATCATGAACATCCTGCAGTCAAAAAGAAACAAATTATCCTAGTACAAGACATTGAGAAAGTTCAAAATATTCAACACAATTTCCAACTTCGAATATGATAAAAATTAGAAAAAGGAAAACTAAAGAAGAATATACCTGATGAAAATCAGCAAGACCTGCAGCCAAAGCAGCTCCAAGTGCATTCTGAGTTTCTGGAGGCCTTTTCAAGAAACACTTCATAACTGCAGTGAGTATGTGCAAACGCACCTGCATAAGACAATTGAGTTGTCATAGTTATGTCCCGATTGCAACTTCTAGTCAGTATGATATTTCAAATGTTTAGGATACCTCCGCAGAGAGCTCCTCCTCCCAGTTTTCAATAAGACTCTCTAAAATATAGGGAGCATCTTGCATTTCTTGAGCATACTCGCCTAACATCCAAATAAGAGCAGCCTTTGCTTTAGGTTCCTGTACATTTTTACTACTTATGTTTCCAACAACTGCTATACAATCTTGACTCCACTGGGGGTACTTTCTCAGAAGATCTTTCACGAGAACCTATAAGATAGAATTTAAATCATTAAATACAGATAGGAATGTAAACTTGATAGGAATGTAAAATCCAACAACCCTAAAATGCATACAATAACATCTTTTTTAAGGACGGAGAGATTACCAGTGTTTCAGCAGTTACGTAGTCCTTTTCCATCTCCAGAAACTGTAGCAACCTATCTACAATAGCATTTACATCATACTGCTGAAGAGCAATTTTCCCAACGGCACGGATAGATTCTCTTGCAATAGGTATATCAACATTGGCAGCATATTCACAAAGTTCAGTAACTGCAACGTATACATGATCGTCATCGAAACTTAGAAAGAAATGATGATGAAACACAAATAGAAACCTAACTGAAAGATCATCATCAGAGTATAAGGAACGAAAGCATCGACTTATTATTCGAAGTACACCAACCTATCTCATATGTGTTGCTTTCGTTTGCAACAGCAGTCAACATCTCAAGTTTCAATTTCTTGACATAAAATGGTTCATTATACTGGCAATAAAAGTGCTTGTAATCAGAAGAAAATATGAAAGGTGCACGCATCACCAACAGATGAAGATGACTTAGCACGGCATATGACTGCTCCGGACTTCCTGAGCTCACTAGGGTAAGCAAAGGCGCTTTTATACGCTCGTACACCTAAAATAGGAAATCCAACATTTTGTGCAATTTAGAAAACCAACAGTTGATATTCAAAGAAACGCAATTTAATGCATCATCAACAAGGAAATGGAGAAAAATTAAAAAGGGAATGTCAAGAAGTAACAACCTGCTGATGAACATCAGTCATGGACAACGTCAGTTGGAGAAACACCTTAATCGTTGCCAAGACAACAGCACCATTTGCATGCTGAAGTCTATCTTCGAGAAGATTCATAATGTCAAAGATGTCATTGCTATCAGAAGGCACATATTTAGAGACCAACTCAAGAACAATACACTGTGCCCATTCATTGAACTCCTTAATCCTGCAAAAAGTTTTTGGAAAAGGGTAAGTGACCTTCTATATTTCCTTAAAAAAAAAAACAGAATTTTTTATAAGACATGTGTTACATTATGCTGTCTCAGTTTACATGTACATATAGAAACCAAACCCATAAATTATTATTTCATACAATTTGCTTCCCACATGGTTAACAGGGTGAAGTAATGTACAGAAATAAAATTGACAGTAACAAGTGCATGGTTGTTTTGCAAACTTGAAATCATCCTTCTTCTAAACTTTGGACAAGCCTATTGACGCTTGTATGGAAATCAATACACTGTAACGAATTTGGGAATAGAATACCTATTTAAAAGGTAGTATATAACAGGCTTGCTCAACAAAATTTCTCTATCCCTTATTGCTTCCTCGGATTTACTTGCCTCCAAACTCCAGATCTCTTGAAGGCCTGATAAGCAGTTTGCAACCACCTAACAAAAGATAAAAGAAGCAAGGAAAAGAAAACATAGAAACATTCAGTGGATGTTTTCAGAAGTGGATTCAGTCCAGAGCTACATCTATCCAAACAAAGAGAGTTATATCCAAAATCAATCTGTTTACTATTTTAATTTATTTTCATTAGTGAAGAACAGTTTTGACACAAAGAACTACACCCCCTCTCCCTGAAAAGTTCATCCTAACCTTTGTGGCAAAAACAATCAACCTCCCAAATTACCCAACTCAAACATGAGCAACACAGAATTGTTCGTAGTTCAAAACAGGGTAGCGGCACTTCTAGCATTGTAATTAAATCCATAAGTTTCTCCAGTACGAAATATTTGATTCAGGAATCCCTGACCTGAGCATCTGGATCATTAAGCATCAAATGCTTCAACGTGGCTGGAAAATCTGCATCTACACATGTTGAAGATGAAATATGGTACAACTTCAGAACACCAATAGCAGCAACTGTCCGCACATAGTTATTGGAGTCTTTCAACCCAGAAGCCAATGGTCCCACCAAGTACTCCACTAAATTTGCAACTCTAAGTGAACAAAGACTCCTCAAAGCTAAACCCCGGATCATGGGGTCCTCATCCTTACAATCCCTTTGAAGAAAATTAATTGTTAAAAGAGAGAGATCCGGGTTGTTCTTTGCATAATTGCCAACATATAAATAGCACATTTTCTTCAGCACAATGTCAGAAGTAGCCGAGCACATAACCATCTCACTGAAAACAGAAGAAACATCAATTCCGATTGTCATATAAGATATCACTTTTTTAAAAAGCTCCCGCTTTGCATCATCAGTCCCTGGTGCTCGACTCCCCGCAAGCTGCCGAAGTTGCATTTTTAGATCCGATACTTCCCCTTTTCTGGTCAAAAATAGAACTTTGATCAGTTTTACAGGTGCAAGGACGATCAAAATCACGGGTAGGGTTTTGCCCAACAGAGAACATTTCATTCTCATAAAGCAAGGAGATGGTTTTTTTTACAGCAGAAAGAATACTTACAGGCACACAAATGAAAAGCCACTTCATACAATGGGCAGTAAGCACAATTATGTGGTTATCATCACTTTTAAAGAAGTTAGGATTCTTTCTAAAACGCACAAATGTACAACACAAGCATATACACTTGTTATTTTTCATCATAAGAAAGTGTCTGAACCAGAGGTGATCCAGAGTATCTCCTTCTCCTTGAAGATGAATCTGTCCAAGATTACTAAAATGAAGAATACTTGCAAGAACAGGCACTGGTGTGAGCTGATGAATATTTGCCCCAACTTCAATTGAACAGATTAGATTTTGGTTTTCTATGTGGTGATCTTATTTTGTACTGATTAATATTTGTAACAAACAAGTATCCTAGGTGTAGTGAATTCTGGAGAAACACTGCGATTGTACCTATAATCATTACTCAATGGAATAAAACTCAACTTTCATCCAAAAAAAACATAAACACTTGGAACCAAGCACGATTCCAGAATTCAAACTTTGAGAACAAAAGTCGAGCTACACCACAATGAAATTCAGTTGGCATATGTCATGAATTGAAATTAAGAAACTTTCAACCTCATCCCAATATCTCCAACACCCGTGTCTGGAAATTCGACAAAGTCGCAAACTGCAACTAAAATCTAAGCTGTTTCCAACCTAATTTGAAACCCCAACAAACACAAACACCTTAAAAAAAGACAATTGCAGCTAAAGAACAGCTGCATTGACCGTGGAATCAGTTACAGCCCAAACATGCATATGTCCAAGTTCCTATTTATATGTTGATCCGAAAAAAGCTGGCAACTATTGACGAGAAAAGATTCCACAAAACTCATGGTAAAGGAAGTTAAGTTAATGGAGAAAAAGTTTAATCAATAAATTAGTTCAGAAGTGATTACGAAGAATACCCGGAAGGTTGAGAAGGAGAAGGGGATCGCGGGTTGTAAGCTGGAGAAGGCATCATCACTCGTTCCCACCGGATCTTCCACACTTGATTCTGCAGATTCTATGGAGTTCCTCACAGATGCAGAATTGCAGTTTGGGTCTTTGAATCTAATCTGTCGCTTCAGTGCAACATCAATCTTCAACTTCTTCTTCCTCGCCCAAAAGTGAAAAAAGAAGTCGTGGTCTTCAAACAATAAAGCGTAGCGCTTTCTGTTTTAATCCTCTCAAGCTTTTCTTTTTTCTCTTTTCTTTTTTCGGTGAAAGTACTGTATTTACTGCATAAATAAATTCCAATTAATCCTTTTTCTTTTTGAAAAATTTAAAAAAGTTTTAATTAAATTTTGTTTCATATAATTCCTATGGTAAACAATTACAAACAAAATAACAAACACCAAACAGTTTTCACAATACATAGTTATATATTCACTTTACTATTACAAACTTACAAAATTATTGTCCAAATTAAATTTTTCATTTTTAAATACATTTTGAACTAAAAATGAAAACATTCAAATTGAATAAGTATAATTTTCTTTACATTTTTTCATACTACAAAATATTTGATATTTTTCTAAGAGATGAGGATATTTTCTGATATTTGATCAAACTTCAGGGAAGGTAGTGAAATTCGCTCATCTTCTATTGTAGTGTATCTTTGGACTTTGATAAATCTCCGGTCGGACTCCATGAAAAAACACTGAGAATTGCAAGTTGAGGAAAAATGATAATCAACCATCTTTCCAGATTTCAATCTTTCCCTTCGACTCTGACCCAATTCTTCTCCTCCAAAACTCGCCATCAACAATTCATCATACACTGCACCCTCTTATCCAAATCTTTCTCAACAAATCTGTTAACCAAAACCCCCAACAAAAACCCCTCCACACTGCCACAGCCAATAAGCTCAGAAAGTCCTGAACTTTCCGACGTACAAATCTCCATTGACAAGCTCTTTTTGCCGCCGGATACCGATGTTTCTTCTTTCACAGCCCCTTTGAGTAGCAGGGTTTTAAAGGGCTCTAACATTGTGCTTAGCAAGTATGCTAGTGATTCGCAGGTGGTCTCTGCTGAGTTTATCAAGAGCAGTGTGAAAACTGAGGACTGCCCTTCTGACGGTTTACCTGAATTTGCTCTCGTTGGGAGGTCTAATGTTGGGAAATCATCACTTCTTAATTCACTTGTTAGGCGGAAACGTCTGGCCCTCACTTCCAAGAAGCCTGGTATGTGTTTGCTTTTACATGTGTTGAATTGCTTTTGTTAGGCTGTTAATGAAGCTTTTGATTCTACTTTGATGGAAACAGTTTGCCAATGATAGTCTTTGAAATTGATTAAATTTTACGGCCTTAAGGATGATGTATTTAACATTAAACGCGATTCAGGAATAATATAGACACTAACTAGTAGCTTTTAGGGCAATTGTTTGTGGACTTGGTCAATGATTTATATGCCACAGGGAAATCTTTTAGGTGCGTGAATTGTCAATTGTACATTGATGTGCATTCTTTGATTCTTTTGTCTTTGTAATTTTTTCTTAAGTTAGTTGTGAGAAAGAGCCAGCTACCCTGTTGGGGGTGTGGTTGTTCTGGAAAAATGGTTTCTACTATTAAGAACATCCATTTGAAAATGATATAGCCATGGGGAAAAAAGAGACAGAAGGATTTCGGTAGTACTAACCAATTTAGCTCATGTTTCAAGTTGATTTTGCTCTCAACATTTAGGTTGTCGGTGTTGAACTATCAAAGAGTTAAAGGCCATATGAGTTTTGTGAAATGAGTATTGTAGGCACCTACAATTACATGCTTTCAGTGCTGGGAATATATTGTTGGTATTCAATAGATTTTTATTGCACGTTCCAGTAGTTTTGGATAATGAGATGTACTTCTTCATTGAGTTGAAAAATCGTTGCTATGTGTTTGTGATGCAAGTTAATGTTTGGGAATATGATATTCAGCGTAGTGAAATTTGCTTTTAAAATGGACTTATTTCCTGGCTGAAATTGGCTTATGTTAAGGAACCTTGTCCTGACAGAATTTTGATCAAAAGGGTATCTAGCCTCTTGTTGCATGGTTTTCTGTTTTTCCTGTCAAATGTCCTTATGTTCCCCTGACGAATGACATCGTTTTATATTGTTTTTTGCAGGGAAAACACAATGTATTAACCATTTTAAAATTAATGATAGCTGGTACCTTGTCGATTTGCCTGGATATGGGTATGGACTTCATACTCCCATGTTTCTCAATATTATTTCCTGGGTGATTTGATAGACTGATATGCAGAACTCACAAGAGCGTCTTAAATTCCCAAGTTATTTTATTGTAAAAATGTTCTGACTGGTGGTATGTTTAATAAAGAAGTTGAATGATTGTATATGGACAACTTTTGGGATTCATGACCTTGTGGCGCATCAATGGCAAGACCTTCATAGCCCCTTCTACAGTGAAAAGTGGAAATGAAAAATTCCCTAAATCTGTACCCTCTAACAAATAGTTCTGCTTCATTGGCAATTTCGGTTGCATGTTGATTTGAAGTGAATAACTTTGCCCGATGCTATCTAAAGTGAGTAGTCTGTATTAGAAAGCCGCTTTTATTTATGGGGCAGACTGGAGTTACAAACAAACTGAGATTTGGAAAATGATTTTTTCTTTTTTCTCCTTGGAACTTGCACTGATATTTGACAGATGAGACAGATGTTTACTAATTAACTGCAGAAAATCTCGTCAAATATTTCCACTGTTCCGCTCCCAGAAGTAAAGAGAAACTATGCCTAGCCCAAAATAATGCCATTTCTGTTTATCTTAAAGTACAGCAGAAATGCTGTTTGTAGTTAGCTAATATTTGTAATCCGATTCAATCATCATCTTCTAAAGATATTGATATCAATTACCTTTTCTCTGGCAAATTGTATAGGTATGCCGCTGCACCACAGGAATTGCGGACAGACTGGGATAAGTTCACTAAAGATTATTTCCTCAATCGGCAAACTCTTGTTTCAGTATTTCTTCTGATAGATGCGAGTATTCCTGCCAAACCGATTGATCTTCAGTATGCTAGTTGGCTGGGAAAGAATCAGGTAATTGCCCTTTTCAATACTCTTTTGAACAAAAAAAATTGGTATGGGAATGACAATGAAGACGAACTTTTTGCTCAACTGTGATCAATTTCATTTCTGTGGATGTGGCAATGTGCTTCATTTTCATTGGAACCAGTCCTGTATGGTGGAGAGCTAGTACATCCTGGCGTTCAGCTTTTTCTTGTCTTTCCACTTCTGACTAGTTTGTTTAATTGAGAATGTTTTCCTTTTTCTTTCAGATTCCAATGACCTTAGTTTTTACCAAATGTGACAAACGGAAAAAGAAGAAAAACGGAGGGAAAAGACCCGAAGAAAATGTGCAGGATTTTCAGGATTTAATTCGCCACTTTTTCCAAACTGCTCCCCCATGGATTATGACCAGCAGTGTAACCAATCAAGGTCGTGACGAGATATTGCTGCACATATCTCAGTTGAGAAACTACTGGCTCAAGCATTAGGGGTAAACAAACATCCAGTCCTCTCCGGTTCTTTCTTCACTGTATCTGTTGTGATTTGAAACTATCAAAGCCATCCCTCTGTTCCAGGGAGTTTGAGCGGCTTGAGCATTATGCGTCTATTGCTGCTCTGGCTTTTCTGGGGCATCTCCTTCTGAAGTTTTGATCTGAGAGCTAGTGCATATGAACCCATAGGAAATGTAAGATCACTTGATTATTATCATTGGGTAAAGAATCTTTGTAAACCAGAGTTAATAAGTTAAATGCCTCTTATTTTCTTTGTATATTATAGAGGTGAAGAAAATCAATGAAAAATGCCCTTGTTCATTGCACATACCACATATAAGCAAAAACGTTACAAAAGTGCCTATTCAGACACTTTCTCTGATCATTTATATGCCCAGTGAGAAGAAACAAGCCGACATTTCTCTGATCATTAATTGTATGCCCAGTGAAAAGAAACAAATTGATGCTTCCGGTTTCTACATTTCGCAAGGTTCTAAAATAGTGTGAATGTCGACAGTGCAAAAGCTTTTAGTATTTTGAAAGAAATCTTTATCATTCCCCATTATGAGTCTCATTTCGTGTGTGCAAACAAGTTTTGTATAGTTATGGATTCAGTTTATAGATTACATACACAAGCTATTGAACTAATCAGTTTCAGTTCCTCTGCTATAATAGTTTTCACATCATCTTTGCATTAGTGCTCAAGAATCAACCATAATACATTTCAGGTAGTGGTTGCTACTAATTTCAGTAAAGATCCGATACGCTAAAAGTCACTGTATCTATTGTTCTGAAATACAAGTCCATGCGAAGCCTAGGTAACAAATTCAGAATGCTACAGCCTCTTCGGATATTGCTAACTTTAAACAGCTACACCACGACACAAGTGCTTGGCCAATTATGGAGGCTCCAACTACCTGAACAAGAAAGTGCACACCATGCAACTGTAAGCATCAAACCAGAAACCAATCATACAACATCAATAACCCTTAAATCACCATCACTACATCTACTGAGCTCAAAGGTTAGTGTACCTGTACCACTGTAATGAATAGAATAGAAAATGAAAATAAAACAAATGCACTAGCAAATTGACAACTGCAGTCTAATAGAAAAGATGCACAAGTTGTGGTTATACTCTAGCACAGTTCTGGAAGTAACCATGTTAAATATGTTCACTGAATAGAAAAAAAAATGTAGTTTCTCGACGTCCAAATAACTCATTATTGAAGCACCGGATAGCGAGAGAAACAATTTCTTTGGCTTTGCAGTCACTAGTTAGGCACCAGAGAAAGATGGTGTAAACTAACATAAACATCACAAAGCCATGGATAGAAGTGACTGGAATAAATAAAAGAGAATTATAGAGATGAAATAGGACATATTGCCAAACGACTCAGTCCCTTAGATGTTCATAAAACCTGCGATCATTTCCGCAACTCATTACAGGTCTGTTAGAGCTCATCATAGTCGTTGGCCAATCATGAACATTAAGACAAAAACCAGACGGAAAATTAATAAAATTAAACATATATAGCTGCCCCACTATTCTACCAACAATAATAGAATTGAGAAAGAAAACTAAAGAAAGAACAGCACAACCAATTTTGCTTCAAGGGAACGAGTTGGAAAGAAAGTGATGGGTTCTGCCAACCAGATAGTGAAGCCTAATCTAACAACATTAATAATCTACAAAAAGGAGAAAAAGACACTATATTAAAGGCATAAAAGAATTTACTACCAGAATGTAACTCCTAATTCATTTAGGCATAGACAGATGGGTCACATTCATACACCAAAAAGGTAAACACCAGGAAAACCAAGGATGAAAATGATTGGAAACATACAACAAATATAAAATTAAATCAGAAAATAAACTGAAACGACTCAGTCCCTTAGATGTTCATTAAGAACTGCGATCATTTCCACAACTCATTACAGGTCTGTAAGAGCTCATCACGGTCAGTTTCAGCTATTCATAATCATTAGACAAACATATTATAGTATTTATGAAGAAAAATGTAGCTGTTCCACTATTCTCCCAACAATTGTATAATTGAGAAAAAAACTAATGAAAGAACAGCACAACCAATTTTGCTTCAAGGGAACGAGTTGTAAAGAAACTGAAGGCTTCTTCCAACCAGATAGTGAAGCCTAACTGCTCATTTTCATTTAACAAAAAGGAGACAAAAGACACCCTGACTATGATACGGAAACACATCAGAAAGTATGAAAATAATATGTAGCTGCCCCTACTATTCTCCCAACATTAACCACAACATTAACAGAACTGAGGGGAAAAAAACTTATTAAGAACAGCACAACCAATTTAGCTTCAAGGGAACGAGTTGGAAAGAAACTGGTGGGTTCTGCCAACCAGATAGCGAAGCTTCATCTATATCTTTATTTCCACCAAAAGGAGGCAGAAACACCCACTTTTTCTTGTCACGTCCCTATCTCCTAACCATCATAAATGTACAAAGAAGTATCATTCATGTATACAAAAACATAATACCACATATATAAGGGGTTTTCAATTCATACTCTAGATACCCTAAGATAATAAGTAGACATGTAGGACTCAGGTGAAGACATAAAATGTTTGAATACATCTAGGAAAGGAACAAGAGGAAAAACTGTTCCTTACCCTCAAACTTATTCTAGAAAAGACAAGTCTTTCTCACTTCCTATGTGCCCCTGTCTGAACCGATTGGTGTGTGAGCAATTGCTGCACCTCTCGGTTATTCGAGAGGCAGTTCCAATGGAGTACAACACAACTCTGCAAGGACCCAAAGGATACCCCATGAAAATAAATTACTAACCAACTATCCAGACAATCTTAAAAGAGAAAAAATATGAATAGACAATACTAGGCAAAATAATGTCCATGGCTGCTTGGAGGACACTTTATCAGAAGAAAGAGTCCACTCAAAATGCCTTGGTTGAAGATCCATACTCTCAATCGAGAGTTGAATCCTTGGATGCACTCTATGCCTCCTAACTAAGCCAGATATGGAAGTCATACATTTTCCATATAGCTACTCAAAGAGGCAAAGTTCTTATATACTAGCCAAAACCATCAATACTTCATTTTCACTCTCTAAAACTGAGACGTCATAAAACCCCCGAACAATCAATAAATTTTTCTATATCAAAAAAATAAAAAATTCTCAACAAATAGCACAGTCCTTCAGTACTCTACAGCATAATAATAGCATAAATACATCACAAATATCCACCTCGAACAGCATGTTAATTAAAACAACGGATTAGATAAGCTCATACACCTTCACGAATAGAGCAAAGCCGCTGCAGGACCGATGACGGCACTTCTGGTGGTGAAAGCTGCACCGGCTACATCTCATACAGCACTGACCAAAACTCCATGAGCCTTTACCCGATTACAAGATCATTTCGTCATGTAATTAATCTACAGTTATTCATAAGAAGATAGACTGGAGAGAGGCTTAGATACGCCATTGACGGAGTTCCGGAGGGGGAAAACCTAGCAACTACTTTGATGAACGATGAGTCAGAACGCCTGCAACGAAGTTTATATTCTGTGACTCGTTTGAACTAGGGTTTTTCTTTGTGATTCTTCTTTATTTGGGTTGGGCCATATTTGTTTCCTCATTTAGGTCAAATCAGTTGGTCTGATTTGTGGGCCACGTTAGTATATTTCTTGGGCTTGAAACAATAAGTTGTCTGTTAAGATTTCACCATTGTTAGAATTTTTTTTTTTTTTTAATTGTACGTGGTACTCTCTCTGTCTCGAAAAAAAAATTCACATTAAATTTTAAATTTATAGTAAAAAATAGTACAAATTTAAAAACACAATATGAACTATTTTGTAGGACAGCAGGAGTATAATGTTTCTTAAACAAAGAAGTTAAGGTAACATATGCAAGGCGCAAAATGAAACGAATTTCAATTAAAACTCTAGTTGTATTATTATGATTTTTTTTTTGGTACAACAAAAGACGCTAAACCCTGAGGTTATGACATTACAACAATCTGTGAGTATGAAATACCCACTATATCAAGCATCAACCACAGTTTGACTATTTTGATGGATCATTTAATTTCTGATATTCTCTCCGACTCGATTTGACACTGCTAATGAAGCTAAATAGTTCGCCACAGAATTAGTTTTTCCACATTCATGTCTAACCTTCACACACCACGGTCTTCTTAGCATCTCCTTAATTGTTTGAACCAAACCTCCATTTATTCCCGCGCATACCAGCTGGACTTAAAATCATTTTCACCGTAGAACTATTGTCAACTTCTGCGATCACTTGACGCTTTTTAGTTGATCTTAAAAAGGAAAGGAAAAATACGTTTGAAATTTCTTGGGCTTAAGACAATTGGTTGTCTATTAAGATTTAATTCTTCGGCCCAAAATGAACGGGCCAGAATTTTTATTTTTTTTATTAAGATTGTTAGTAACGTTTTCGAAACAACAGAGAAATTAAGGTAGCATATGTAAGGAGAACGATTAAGTGATTGGACAACGTTTTATTTTAGTTTTTGATTTGGATTTGAAAGGAGATTTAAAAGGTAGTTTAGTTTTTTATTTAGAAAGTATTATAGTATAGTGACTTTTTATGAAATTAAAATAGTTCAGCGACCAAAATGAAGATTTTACAATAATATAATTACCAAATACAAGACTTTATAATAGTTCAGTGACCAAATTCAACATTTTATAATAGTTTAGTAACCAAACGCAATGAAGACTTTACAATAGTTCAGTGACCAAAACGAAAACTTTACAATAGTGTAATGACCAAACACAACATTTTAAAAGGTAAATTAAAAAAGTTGTCTGGACGATGTTTTTTTTATTGAGTTTTGTGTTTAAGAGGTAAAATGAGTGAAAATGAAAAATGAGTTATTGGACAAACAAACACTAAACCATTTGAAGTTATGATTTATCAATCGATACCAAAATTTGAAATGTAGTCAAAAGAGTTATAGATTACTCCCTTGTCAACATTCACATTTTGAAATGTAAAGAAAACTCAGTACAAAACTCTTTCTTAATACGTGTAATATCTTTATACGTCGATTGTTTCGTCACATTTTGAAGCAAACTAATACTTCATCCGGTCCTTAATGTAAGACATTTTGATTTATCTTAAATTTCACCTAATATGCTTTTTTAATTGGAAAATAAACCTTAAAAATATTTTCTAATAATTAGAAGAACGCAATGAATATAAAAAAAAAGTAATTTTAACATTTTTTTCCAAAGAAAAATGCATACGAAGTGAAATATAGGACAAATCAAAATGCCTTATATTACGGACCGGAGGGAGTATATGATAAATTTTTGTTCCTTATAACTCAATACTAGTGAATAAATTATTTTATTTCAAAATTTAGATTTTCTTTTTAGTTATTTAGTTCTTAAGAGATACTCCCCCATTTCAAAATAAGTC